TAAAATCAGTAACACTTATAAATTAGTAACTGGTATCGAATTAGAAATAAACCACGTTTGAATTTTATCGGGGGGGGGGGGGGCTGCCCAAAGCACGAGTGAGTAAGCATAGTGAACGAGAGGGGTCAAGGTAAATTATATTCTTTAGCAAAACTATAGTATGAAAACAAACAAAATTCCTGTTTCACACTTCATTTTTCTACAATATTAATTGTACATTTTGAAGGATATTATGAGAGGGAGCATAGCTCCCGAGCCAGAAGATTTTTGCATTTTTATTTGTCTAAATGCTGCACTCTTGGGCCCTCCAAAGCTTAATAGTGTGTTGCAGTCTTTAGTCAGTATTTGCTGTACATTATTTTTGTGTACTTTTTCAAATTTTCCATGGGGGGACGATCCCCCCTATAAAAAATCGTCCCCCCGGGATCGCCGCCCCTGAATGTATAGGACTAAAATATATCACAATCACATAAGACGAAGATATTACCGCACTACACAGTTATTTAATCCCCAGGGCCCGTATTCAATAAATTTCTTAGACTTAAGAAAAATGTCTTAGAAGTTTATTGAATACGGGCCCAGAACTAGAACAAGCATTGCTTTTTTACCTTCAGAATTAGACTGGAAAAAAAAGGGTTTCATATTTCTAAACATATTGAAGTTATGAGCTTTTCTTTTATTAAAACACGATCTATCCCAAAACCCTCTCCTTTTCTTTCCTTTTCTCTAACTCCTTGGACTTATCGTCCCTCCCCTCTTTCCTTCCCCCTCCCCCACTTCTACTTGTGTGGATAGGGAATGCATTCTGGGACAGGTTTCTTTACAATGTCGAAATGACTTAAGTCGTTGACTTCGTTCCACCTCTACCTCGCTCTCCCTTAAACTGCCCAGTTTACCCATTTCTCAGATGTAGGGAAAATTCAATTCTCATCAATGCCAAATTCTTTTCCTCAAATTCAGCTTCTTTGAAACTGCGTTCAATTTCATTCATGGTTATAGATGAAATCCGTTCTCTTCCCATGAAAATCAAATAATTAACCAGAATTAAAAATTTGATTTACCAATTGCTCCTTTCCTTGATCAGTTAATGATATCCCCCAAAATAACTCCTCCTAACTTAGATTAGGTATGGATAGATTCCTTCATAATTATGTCGCAAATACAATCATGTAGTTAATTATGACATTTTCTTTCATTTGAAATTGCGCCATCTATAGTTTGGTGAAGTGATAATTCGACTGCGAGTTGTGAGTGGTTAGTCTCTAATTGGAACTGGTCTTTTTTAAATATTTTAAAAAATGTCTTCTCGTCTTCTTATCCTAAATTATCTTGTCCTCTCGTTAGCAAGTTTAGGCTTCCGTTCGCCAGTGCTTAAAGGGGATACTGACCGATGGATGCATGTTACTAGTAGCTTAAATTAAAGCATAAAAATGAAAGAAACCGAAAGTATTGAGAGTTTGAGGAAAATATTACTATGAAAGTTATGAACTTAAAAAGTTGACATCGATCGAACACACATTTTCACATGTCCTGTCTGTTCTGAAGGCCCTTAAACAAACAAAAAAGTGTTACGTATTTACATTCTACGTTATGTTCACTGAAAACGATTAAGGCCAGTGATGGTTCTGGGGGAAGGGGGCCAAGAGCCGTTAGAGCCCCTCTCTAAATTGCTCTAAAATATCAATTTAAGAACGGGCCATGTAAAATGAAAACACGAACCGTTGAGCCCCAGAACATACCGAATATTCTTCCGGAACTGTGCCTGAGCATCTTTTGGGGCACTTACCTTTTTAGAAAACAGAAGTATGAACCTTTTATACAGAATTCAAGCTGGTTGCCAACTTTGTCTGATCGGTTGTCTAATTTCCCCAAAACCTTTACTTATACTTCTCTTATTTGTCTGTTTTATTGAAAAGTCAACTTATTAGGACGTCACCACTCTATCAATACTCCGATCTTGAATCTTAAAGAGAAGGTTGAGTTCTGGAAAGAGTTGAAAAATAATTTGTGAGCGTTATCATTCTTATTATGCAAGTGTGGAAGAACATCAGATAAGACATGTTCCCTGAAAAGCATGGCTCTTCAAATGCCTTCATATTCTAAATATGTCATATAATATCGTAAAACTCGGGGGTAGGATTTTTACGCCACGTGTTCGTGTAGTCCCATATACATATTTCTGCGTACAGTGTTTGGAACTTTACCAAGACTTGGCCAAATTTCTTATCATTTTGATGATTCCAGAACCTTGCAATACACACAAATTCGTATATGCTAGATGATCAACCTTTTCTGGTCGATTCCACACCGTTTCTTTCACAATGCAATCGCATAACCAGAACTCAACTTCATCTTTAAATCCATTACCAATCAACATACCATGTATACAGTGTCCAACGGTCCAACCAGTTATACTGCCAAATCCTTCGATTTTAAACACTATTGTCCATAAAGTTATAATAATTCATTCTTTAATTTCTCTTTTCATGAAACGATTGTAACAATATGGTTTAATCTTGAACGATAACGTATATTATCTTCTCAGAACTTCATTGATCAATCTCTGTGACTATTTAAATTGATCAGTTAAGTTCTGAGAAAATATGAACTTCTTAAAATCAAAAATGAAAAATATTCTCACAATTACTTCATAAAAAGAGGGTGAAACAAAATTATTTCAACTCTATGGGCAACCAGGCGCGTACACAGGGGGGGGGGGGGGTGGGGTTAAACCCCCCTTGGTATTTTTATGTGTGTAAACCCCCCTAAAATCCCCCTTTGGTTTTTTTTTTGGTTTTTTTTGGTCAAATTTTCAAATTTCGAGACCCCCCCCCAAAAAAAGTGTCCTCTTACCCCCCCCCCCCCCGCTTATTCAGCGGTCGGCTGAGTCGTTGCGATTTTTTTTGGGACCAAAAAAAAAGAAAGAAAAGTGACCTCTTACCCCCCCCCCCCCCCCCCCCCCCCCCCGCTTATTCAGCGGCTGGCTGAGTCGTTGCGAAATTTTCGGCCCGATTTATAACTGTTAACCCCCCCCCCCCCCCCCCTTGAAAAAATCCTGCGTACGCGCCTGTGGGCAACAATGTAGTTACGTAAGATAGTGTGCTGATTTACAAAAAGAGGGAAATATAGGGCCAATGGGCCATACAGGGAAATGGTGTAGGATTCCTGCCCCTGAGAGAAAAAACATGGGTGGGGGCGGGGGCACCTTTTGTAGGCCTACTAATGAAAGAACACTTCTGCCATCGTATAAATGCGACGGACATGTCGAGAGAAATAAACATTAACTAAAAATAAACCAGAAAAGACCAAAACAAAAATAAACCCCAAAACTTAAAAAACAAATAAAGTAAAGCACAACTAAAAAAAAAATTATTTCCAAAAACAATAACAACAACAACAAACCAGAGAAACAAACGAAACGAAATACAGGTTTAACCCTAATAAGACCGGGGGGCATTATCCCCCCCCCCCTACGATTTTTCCAAAAGGTCGGGAACGCATATGGATGGCGCCCCGCCACTCGCTGACTTTTTTCTTCCGAGTCTTGCGCATCTTTTAAAAGATTTTTTTTGAAAATCGGACCTACGGTTACAAGGTCACGTGACCTTTTGTCTTTGCATGTCAGCCCGAAAATCGCTCATTTTCGTGATTTGTGTACAAAACATAATTATGGAAAAGTCATTTTTCCTAAAAACAGATCAAACATGGGTTATTGGGTCTTGTTTAAAGTTTAGGTGGTTGTTTTGGGAGTCAAATTAGTTGTAATGTAGTAAGAAATGAAATAAAACAACAAAAACAATGAAATACATAAGTTAAAAAACAATGAAAATGAAAACAAGGGATAACATAAGGAATATGCTGGCTCTTCCAAATTTTGTTGTCGTATTATTATTCAGAATGGTCTAATGAATTATGTAGAGAAAACGAATGTTTAAATATGAATAATATATGATTTATAGGTAAAAATGTAGTTTTTATGACTTTATTTGCATAAATTACCATAAATATGCAAATGAGTGAATTTTCAAAAAATTGAAATTATCATATTATTCTATACACTTCACTTGACATGCGTGCAAATTTTCGCGGCGATCGGCCGCTTCGCGGCCGAGATCTTAAGGGGGGGGGGGCATAATGCCCCCCCCCCCGGCCGTACTAAGACCTCAAACAGCCCGGCCTTTTTAGGGTTAATTTTGCAGTAGGTCACATGTACCTCATTTACCTATTTTGTTAATCATGAGTTTTGATTTGTTTAGAAAATTGCTGTATTACTAGGTTTTATATTTCTAAATCTTCGGATTGTATTATGGTACATTATATTATTAACTTTATGCATTATATGTCATGTTATCACAAAAAGAAAAAGGAGTGTTTCTGCTGGATATAATTTTCCTTCTGTTTTGCTACAAACACTGCATCATGTAAATTGATGTATATGATATATATGTTTCCAAACAGAATATAGATTTGTTACATTGCATTGTAAATTGATTTATATGTTTATAAACAGAATATTGATGTACATCAATGAAGTCTAATAAATACAATGCCTTTTCAAATGTCAGCAATATTTTCCACGAGAAAACATCAGTTTGAAGACGTGCACGAGTACAATATTATGGTAGGTAGAAGACTAAAACAGGATTAGGAATTGAGGGAATTGGGTAATCAGGATTTTTACGAATCACGATACTTCGTGTCAATATAAAACCACACTATAGTAGCCTGAATAGTTTTGCTTTGTTGGTCTTATTTCATTGGCTTATTATCGGAAAAATGCATGCGTCATGATTCTGCTTTCTTTATAAGGCTTGGTGTTTTCCAAATATGGTGTGTCGGATGACAGCTCACCTATATGCCCTATTCATGAGGCATTGCGTCATAGTGTATTTCGCAATCTCGACTTTTCTACATCACAAACAAATGACGACGTTGTATTTCGATTGTAGAGTCTACACCAAAAATGATATCGATGACATTTAAAATTCATTTCTACCATTCTTGGGTCCCTGAATTTATAATCCAAGATACTTATAAGGTCTCTTGATAGCTTCTAATAAAATGAATGTATAAATTCAATAATTTTAAATCAAATACGAAAGAAATTATGGTAAACATTACTATCAGTGACTCCAGTGATCGGAGGACCGACTTTGGTGTGCCTGCGGCCAGCTAACCATACTTGCTCTCCCGCGCTCGGTCACGTACACGTATATGTACGGCGGAATCTCGTACGGCGCGCTAGCTGGCTCTCGTCGTCGCGTATATTTGCATTCAAGATGGCACCGCTTACTGCACGTAAACTTCTTCTTTAACTCTAGGCTCTCTTTTGAGCAGAGAAGTCGCTGAGCAGGGCATCAGCGTCTCTAGGTAACATCTTATGTGCGTGACTGAAATCACCCTGGAATTACTTTTGTATTCTCATATCGATCTGTGCTCAATTTCATCTAAAAAATAGATTTTTGTGTTCCAATATCTAACCGGACTCCGACTTCAAACAGAGCCATCGTTGTGCAATCCAGTGCGAGTGACAACGTTACGACGCAACGTATGCAATTACAACGCCTTTCTCATTGACTGGTAATTGCGTCACCTACGTATCATTCGAAGGAAAATTCAGTATTTTATCACAAGTACGTTGTGAAATATATAGACACAGATTCCTCGATGTTTCATATTGAATATTTTTTAAGAGCCGACGTTCTTTTCTAGCTGGACTAGATTCATATTCATATTTTATTTGTGGAGTCGAAATGGCCGGATCAAATTAGATTCACAATCCACACCAAAGCTGGCCTTCTGTGTGTATTTGTCAAATGTTTTGCAGTGCAGCTGAAAAAGAAATTTGACAACAATTTGCCTTCTTGGACAGTTAAATTGACAAATTGTATAACTTAATGTTTAACCATAAATGTTTGCATCTCAGGATTGTTGAAAACAAATATCAGTATTAATACTCTTCGTATTATTATCGTCGAGAATTTTTATTTTTTATGAATGAACTTGACTCTTGACTATCGACTGCGTGTGGCAAGTCGCGCGGTTACAACAAAGGACGCAACTCTTTTATTTTAATACGCTTCTGAAAATCTGTTTGAGCTGCTGAGAGGCGCACCTCATTCTCTTCTAAGAGGTTGCTTGTTATATTTTGCTACCTGTTGGATTTTAATATCATAAACATCTGAAATATTTTCGTCATTTCAAACTAAAACATAAGTAATTTAGAGCTATTGATTTTGTTATCAGCTGTTGTATGTTGAACAAAATCTGCTCTCTTTTTGTCCGTTTCACTTTGATGATTTGCTGAACTTGAATTGGGATCAGAGAGGAATCAGAAATAGAATTTTAGAATTCTAACTTGATGAACCATATAACTTCTGCCCCTATTCCGATCCACCATGGTCGGGGTAAAGTTCAAATATTTCAGGACGTTTCATCCAATTTGACTAGTGGTGGGCAATTGAGCCCTCAGCCACAACTTTCCCCCAGTCCACCAAGTTTTGTGTCCCATGAGGAACATGTAATCTCAAGAATTGGAAATTATGTTCTTCTGGAGGAAGTAGATCCTAAAGTATTCAAATGTGTTGATACTTTTAACAACCAAGAATGCATCTGTAAGGTAAGCTTGAATGTGAATTTCTTCTTTGATTTACCTTTGTATTTAATTATAAATGAAAAGTAACTGTTAAAGCCTTGGAGTTGGAAGTCCAACCTGATAATGATATTAACTTGGTTTTAATAAAACCAGAAAAGAGAGAAAAAAGTTAGTAAAAAAACATCTGATTAAAAATAGGAAAGCTATGACTTTTTGAAATTGTCATCAGTGAAACACAAATTGGCAACACTTTGATGTATCTTGCAAGTTGCAAACCCCTCTCCAATTTTTACTCTACAGTAATTGTACAGAGATATGCTTCATACATACACTGTAGGTTGTGCAGTAGTCAGTATAAAAACATATTTGCAAGAAGTATATTTTGGGTTATTAAATGTATGATTACTATTTTTCTGAAGGGATAATATCAATTTGTGAATTTAGTACAGGGCAAATGGTAGAGCTTCCGAGCTTGCAAGGAATGTCACATAATTTGTGTTTGATTGAACATACATGTACATGTATACCTGTACCTTCCAAAATTCATAACTATCTTATTTTTAATCAGATTTTGCTCAAACTATCACTGACCTTACTGACCTGCTTCTCTCATTTTTCTGCTTCTTAGCAACACCAAATATCAGGGTGGACTTCCCCTTTAATTTTCATACTAATATTTTGTTGTCATTAACAACTAACTTCTGTTGGTTTATTTTTTTCAAAATCATTTAAATGTCCAGGAAAACTCATTCTCAGACAGTGAATTGAACAATGTTTCATGCAAGATTGGTGGGGATTTTACACAGATGTAAACGTGTAGTAGTCTCGTAGATCTACTGACGTATATCTACTGACATGTTAAATGAAATGATGGAATATAATGTAACTTGATAGTTGATATGTCCAGGTGGATTTGTTTAGTATTAATTTACTGAAATCCAAAGGGAAATGTGACAGCATAGTTGTTTTGGGGCACAACCCCCAACCCCCCCCCCCCCAAAAAAAAAAAAAAAAATCATATGAATTAATATTTAATCAGGATTTACTGTTTATTAAGTGGAAAAATGCAAAGTCACCTCTAGCACATAATACTTTTTTTTTGTAATTACTTTTTATGGACTTTAGTTTACTTTCAAGAGGTTAATGGGAAATCCTACCTTAACAGACAACTACTCTACACAAAGAAAGCAGAACAATCAGAAAAGCAGACTAGTGAAAGATTGAAATAAATTGGACAAAAAATAAGAAAGTTCTGATTTTGTTAAAGGTTGATCACTCACTGATAGGTACATGTATGGGCACTTCAAATTGGCTGAATGAGTAATGTCATTATGACTACCAGTTTCCCATTTTTTTTTCAACACACATGACATACAGATGTAAAAAACTGTATGACAAAGTTATTACAATCTCAAATTTTCAAAATACATGATTTGGGTGAGTCCTTTCTTTTTACAGGACAACAAGCTATCCATAATATATTTTGAGCAGTGCCTCAAAGGAGAAGTCACTTACAAAACTTACAAGTAGGAGAAAAACATAAATTAATTATATATTTGTACACAACAAATGGGAGGTTCACATGGATTTACAGTGTAGTGATCCCATATTTTAAGTATTTGAAACTCCCTTATTATTGGCCTGGCTGATTTATTTGAAACTTGCCATTCTATTTCTCTTATTTTGCTGCTTCCAACCATACCAATGAAGTTATTATTACTATTGACCACACTATCGCGTGCAATCGTAATTCCTATGTAAATAGTATGACACATGTTGCGCAATTACATCCTCTCCATTGCACAATAACCAGTTTAATCACATCATGAGCAGTAAGATTAAAGTTCATATGAGATTTTTCCTGATTTTCTATGTGTAGACTCTATGTACAATGTACATGAAAATCATGTAGTATTATAATTGTTTGTCATTCAAGAGGTTAGTGTTAGTATAAATTGGAGCAAGCTGTCTTCAATCGATCATGTGTTAAAGATAATGTAGGCATGGTTAAACTTCCAAGGGTTATTGATTTGCCCCAATTGTCCCCACCCCCTAAAAAAATCTGTAAGAATGACAACCTTACTTTTGAAATATTAAAAGAGGTACAGGACATCTAATGGGTGGGGTCATGACAAAGTCAGAGAGTCAAGGCACAAAGAAATTCTCTGAAACTAGCCCATGTATTAAATGTACAGTATTGCACAAAGACCCAGAAATGACCATGTGACGTAGCACAAGTCCTAGGCCTTGACACAAAGGACTTCCTTTCTGGAAGCCATTCTGTGAACGTGGTTCATTCACAAAAACCCTGAAACCGGACAGGGAGGGGGGTACAAAACCTGTAGTAGCAGTCTAGGTTCTAAGTCTTTTGTCCCCTAGCCCATTGACCCAGTCACTGAGATCAAAGTTGTTGTACCGGTATCTTACAGCCTTACAGGCGTGGGTGGACAGAGCCATGCTTGAGTGCACTCCAGGTTGAGTATGCATAGTAATTGGTGTTGTCATTACACCAGGTTATTGCATCATCTTTATTATGAATTTACACAAGACACGTGATGCCTGATGGATCATCATTTAATTTGCCATTTCATTCAAAACTCCACAGCTTTAAAAAAAATCTACATTTACAATTTAACTGTAAACAAAAGTTTTGTTTAATTCCCATTTGTGTATAGATGGCAAATGGAGTCTATTCTGTAAACATAGTGATTAAAGTGAGATCATTACAGGGCAGTTGTGTAATGTAGACATTTTGTAGATCTGTTGACTGAGTTGGATTAATTAATGCATCAATTGCCTCATGGTATAGAAATGGGTTCAAACTTCAAAAATCAAAGTCAAAATGTCAAAGAAGAACAGCTTCGCATCATTATCACTGTCATTTGACCTGGGCCACTATTGCATACTGTACAGTTGTAAAACTCACCACTGATGGGAACTTTGCCATCAATATTTATTTCCAAGGTAAATTTACCATTAATGCTAGGTTTTTTAATGCAACGGGCCCAGGTCAGTCAGACCTCTATTTAACAAGAACACCATATGTAGTATTAGAATGAGCAGGCAGCAGATTTCTAATCATTTTGCAACACTTGTAACTTTTAAAGTTTTTAAAGGTTCATGAATCATAAATCTTGGGGAAAATGTACCAGGAAACAAATTTCTAATAAACAAAGCGATTCATAAATAGGGATTAACATCAGAAACTTACGACAGAGTTGACAGCATGCCTACATTTTCATCAGATATTTTATTTTCAGTGTTATGTCACTGTCATGATAACCATGATTTAAAATGAAAATGGGTTGAATCACTAGAATGCAATTAGATAGAATGATTGCATGATGCAATATTGCAGAGTCACTGCATTGCATAAAAGTTGGTAGGAAACCAGTAGATCTGAGTGCAGTCGTGCATTCAATTCAAGAAATCAACAAAAACCCATCTACAATTAAAGAGTCAACCAGAAAGAGAACAAAATGAATGTAAAATGGTTATAAAAAAAAGACAAATGCCAATCACCGACAGCAATAGCTACAAGCTGAGAGATGTTTCCAGAACTTGCTTGCTTGTTAGGAGCCTTGTCTGTTCCAGACATCAGTGATCAAGGCTTTCCATAGATCTACTTCTATGTCCGGTTCTTTGTAACGTGACGTTACACATACTTCTGCTACTGGTCAACTCAATGAACTTATGTATTTGATGCAGTGTCTCTCTCTGCTTCTCTATCCCTCAATTTTTCCTTTCCTGTCGGTATCCTGTTTCTCTTCTCATAATATTCCCAACAAAATGAAGTTGTCTTTTCCTAAAGATCTAATGACACTCGTTTGATATCCTGTAAGTCCAACGTACATGTACTGTACTGTATATGTATCCTAAGCATTCTTAAAGGTACATGTAATACGAAGTTTTGGTATGGGGTCATGAATTTGGTTCAAACGAGTATATTGGAAGCATATGCGATCCTACAATATTCAGTGATCGTTGGCGCGGTTGAAATCGAGTCTAAAGTTATGAAATTGTAAATAATAAACTCTTTATGTTGAATAGCTCCCTCACACGGTCAAGATATTAATTAAGCTATAAAACAATGTTTCTTTACTAAAATCGACCGATTAGATTCAAGATTTTAGCTATTCCTGTTTGGAAATTATCCATCACAACTACATGTACATATTCTGAGATTTTCATGGTCGCAGCTACATTTGTACATGTACCATTGTACGGCCGTAGGCGCTATTTGAAATTTATCATCAAAATTTACCAGGAGCACCTGTAAATTTTTATATTCAATTTTTCTTGAAAGCATAAGTGTTTAAGGAGCTAAATTTTCTAGTGCTTATAATGCATCCACAGGGGCATCCAAATATATATCAAAATTGTAAAGAATCTCTAATCTCTATCCACCTAATTTTCAAATTTCCGAAAACTTTTTATTACATTTAAGAAGTCCCACTTTTCTGCTGCTTGAATTGTGCCGTCCAAGGATTTAAATGTTCAGCTCTCACACTAAGGCTGTGCACAACAGTGTAATGAGGTACCCGAGTACACTCCCAGGCTTACAAGCGAATACTCGAGTATTCGGACGCCATGTTTTTTTATAATTTTTTTTGAATTTTTTTGAATTTTTTTGAATTTTTTGATTTTTTTAATTTTTTTCAATTTTTTTAAAATTTTAATTTTTTTTTGTTTTTTTGCCACCATCATACCACTGGGGCAGTATCCCACGTCGCCGAAAACGCATGTAATTTTACTTCGAGTTGCAGTTGAAGGCGCCGATTTAATAATAATAATAACAGTAAACAATGCTGATTTAAAAACCAAAGATGGCAGAATAATCCATTTTCCTCCAAGTCCAAACAGAAATCCAGACATTTGGTCCCAGTTTCTGAGTGGTGAGTTTGACAGTGCTTGAGTTGGGAAACATTTTTACCGACGGCACCATGCCAGCGGCCGTCGCTCACCCAGGCACAGGTAAGCGTCGGCCTGGACAGATTTTTTTTTTTTTTTTTTTTTGCGGCCGAATATTCGGGTACTAGAAATCGTACCCGAGTAGTTGTCAACCGTGCGGGTACTCGAGCATTCGACTACACGTCACAGCCCTATCTCACACCAGTACCCAGAGTTTAATGGTCATTTTTTAGGTTTTAATTTGTTAGCACATTTCTCTTTTTGGTATTAAAGTAAATGATTCCTTTGCAAGTGCAATTTGTTTCTTTACTTCTGCATCACTCCTTCCATCTGAGGTAATCAAACCTCTAAAGTAGCAGAATGCTACTTGTTTTACCTTTTCTACATCATCCATGCATGTGATGCGAGTATTACATCTGGGTGCATTTTCCTTCTTCGAAACTAACATACATGTACGTTCTGTCCAAAACTACCGTTATGACTATGAGTATAAAATGAAACTGCTTACTGTTTACATGGTACCGGTATGTGGGTGGGATGTATCATAGATACCAGTGAATATTAGTGTGTGTCCATCAAGGTGTAGTCACTCCCACTCAGTCTGCTTACATGTATGAGACTTGCACACAGTGAGTCACTGTCCTGGAATTACTTGCACTGCATGAGTACTCCTTCTGTTACTCATTGTAGAAATTGTAGACCTAGTCACAATTGTTAACTGATTATACAACGTAGCTATTAATCTAAAAAAAAAAAAAATTAATCATTTTTTAAATCATTGCCAGTTTTGATCTTTGTCACTTACTACACTGTTACATGAAACTGAATTTGTTGAAAGACAAGGCAGAGGTGCTAGTTTGGTTTTGTGGTTGGTTCTTGTGCATGATACAGTATGTGATATTAATTTTTTTTAAAGGCTTTCCTCATTCTACAGTATGTCAGTTTGTTTGATCTTTTGTGGATAATGTAGTGCAAACATTGCATTCAATCTTTGACTGCAGCATTGTACATGTACATGTAGTTCTGTGCCCATATTTTTTTCTCTTGCATAAATGTACATGTAAATGTACTGTGTATGACTGTATGTAACATACCGTAATTAACGGTGTATAAACCGCACCTTTTTGCCGCCGAAAAAAATTCAAAGTCGGGGGGTGCAGTTTATACACGGTACAATTGCAATTTTTTTTTTTTTAAGTATCGATTTATGCCCCTCCACCTGGCGCTATGCCTGGCAATGTCTCCCAGCTCAGTAATCGGTGTGTTGACTCACCACTAGGACACTAGAACAACACTCAAATTTGTCATCTTGGTTTGAAAGTAATCTTTCTGATAGATCTCAATATGTAGTTTATAATGATAATCCCTACACACGGTGTACCACAAGGTTCTATCCTAGGTCCTCTACTGTTTTTTAATTTACATTAATGATCTTACACACTCAGCTGCACCTCGCAGTTAAATGAAAAGGCCTTCCCGCATGATTTTTTTAACACGGACCTGGCGAAAAGAGGGGTGCGGTTTATACACGAGGGCGGTTTATACAACGTTAATTACGGTAGTTCTTCTGCAATAAAAATTAAAGGCTAGTGGTGTACAAGTATGAAGTATGATATCTTCTTTATATGCTGCATACTGTACGTAATGTACATGCAACAAAGACCATAATATCAGCCTTACATGTACAGTATGTGGATGAATAATTTGATTTTTCATTTCATTTGTCTATTCAGGTAGTGGATGTACATCAATACAGGGAGGCGTTTGCCCCGACCTTTCACCTGGGCTATCATTCTCGTATCAACCATGTGGAAGAGGTATTGCAGGGCCACACCCAGGCCTATGTCATCTTCCCCACCACCCATGGGGACATGCACTCCTACGTCAGAAGGAAGCGCAAGCTACGGGAGCGAGAGGCTGCTGCCCTCTTTCACCAGATGGTGCAGGCCGTGGCACACTGCCACACCCATGGGGTCGTTCTGCGGGACTTGAAGCTGCGCAAGTTCGTCTTCAAGAAGGAAGAAAGGTACGTGTCTCAACGGATTAGGATAAATACAAGAACTCAATGAATCTGTTATGATTTCTTCCATTTGTTCATGCCTTCTTGCATGTAATGTTGCTGGTTAAAGTACAGTACAAGTAACCCTCAAATCAATCAAATGCAGATCCTAAAGATGGGATTTTGATCTCTTGACTATACATGTGTAATTTGTTTTTAATCCTAAATTTTTGATAGAGAAATCCAAGTGAATCAATGAAAAGGAAAATAACAATTTTTCGGTCTATTGAAGCTGTGTGCAAATTGTCAAATTTACCTCAGCACAGAAGTATTTGAGGTCATATTTTGAAGTTGTATCTTATACTTCTGTACAAGATTTTTTCATTTCCTAGCATACAATTTGGCCATACTGTTTAAACCAGGCCTTCTCAACTGGCGGCGCTTGCCCTCAGTCAGAGAGGCGCGCGGCTGTTCCAAAAAATTAATAAAAAATAAATAAATAATAAAAATTAAAAATTAAAGAAAGAAAAAATTTAAAAATTATATTTAAAAAAAAAAAAAAAAAAAACTCAGCTGTAACAGCGATAAGTTGAGCCCAAAATGTAAGCTAGCCATTTTGTTTGATTGATTTTCACTTCATTTTGACATTTTCCTTGTTTATTGCACCAAAATAACTACATATAAATTAACTTCCAGTGTAGATTTTTGCCAGGAATTGTACCAATTATTTCACATCAATATGAAATTATGATTGATGTTTTATGGAACAAAAAGGTGTTAAAATTGCCATATCTGGGCCTTAAAAAAGCCCTAAAATCCACTAGCTTCCGGGGGCTTTGCCTCCTGGACCCCAGCCGGTATCGGCTCGGTCGCTACGCTCCCTCGCAACACAGTCATCAAACATACTGGTTGGCACTTCAACCTCAATAAATGTTTGTTTTGGCGCTTCTAATAAACTAGTTGAGAAGCCTGGTTTAAACAATATGATCTTACATGTATAGGTATGTACATATGTTTATCTTCTATACATGTATGTTAAAAGAAGAATTCTCAATTTAATATTTGTACATGTACTGCTCCTGGACACATGAAGGCATCACATACATGTACACCACTAGTCTAATGATCAGGATAGACCACAAAAAAGGGAGATACATTTAGTATACAGATATTGACTGCTTTGAGGGGCAAGGGTTAAACTAAAGCCCAAAGTGATCTGTACATAAACAGGCTCAAGATTACAGAAGAGCTATACATGTATAGGTTTCCTTGTGAACCCCAAATTTTCAGCAGTCAATATTCATTCTATATGTGAATCTTTTTCCCAGGGTCTTGGTACATGTATCTCCTTTAGGTGGGTTACATGGTCTGAACATACCACCCTGTGTATCACATCCTCTCTTCCTCTCTCCCGAAACCTTCATGTATGCTTGGGTAAAAACCGAGAGTTCATCCCAGGGTAGTCTGTCATCTGTGTTACTAAACAGGGAATGTAGGTTATCAAAATCACATGACTAATAACCTGTCATGTGACCAACGAGCCAAGACAGACTAGCAAAATATAAAGAGCCAGATAGAAGTGGTTTAGGCTCCATATAATACAGAGAGATCTGCATTCATGCAGTATTATGTACATGTATGTTCACTATTGTACATTACCATGATTATACTGTTGTACAAGTTTGTACAATCTATTTTTTTAACCTTAAACGTACAAAGGTCATGCCGGTACATTTACATAATGTAGATTAAAAGCTCTCGATGAAAGGAAAAGGCTAAGTGGTTTGAAAGTTAAAATGACTGGGTATAAGGAAATAATGACACTTACTTCCCAGATAACAGAAGAATGTGAAGATATCTACAAACTGTACATGTTTCTGCAATATATTTATAGAGTAGGTCATAGTAATATCAGTGGTTTTGATTAAAATGATTTAACACTGCTTTTTTGTACCTTTTTTCCTTGTTAAAAAAGTTTAAAAAAGTGTTTCATAAATGTAGATGTGGGCACAATTATTAGACCAGATATGACTATTGTGTTTCTGAATTATTATGTCAGATGGAAATTATGTTTACCAGTATCCCATTTTGTTTCTTTTACACAGAACTGACGTTGTACTTGATGGCATTGAAGAAGGCCATATCTTGGCTACGCCAGAGGATGATAACTTGAATGACAAACACGGTTGTCCAGCCTATGTTAGTCCAGAGATACTCCTAACCAGTGGTAGCTATTCTGGTAAAGCTGCTGACATGTGGAGCCTGGGTGTCATCCTCTACACCATGTTGGTGGGGCGTTACCCCTTCCACGATTCAGATCCTGCCGCTCTCTTTACTAAAATCCGTCTGGGACAGTATAACGTACCTGAATCCCTCTCCACCCAGGCTAAATCAATGATCTACAGCCTGATGAGAGTGGACCCTAGTGAGAGGCTAACGGCTGAGGAAGTACTTGAGCACCCTTGGTTTCGTAGCGCCAATCTGCCACATAAGTCGTCAAGGAAAGCAGAACCTAAAATGGTTGATCAGCTTGTTCCTGACTATTTCACTACAGATGATGCTGTATAGCATTTGCACTTTATTTTCATTATGTGCATTTAATTGTTCAATGGTAGGATATGATTTTTTGGGATACTCAATGTCGTATCTCACGACAAGTATTAACGGTGCTGAACGTGAGCTTAGATTTTTTTTTAAAATTCCAGATATTTGTATTTTTCCATGTGAATTGTATTCCTTTGAAGTCAGTGAGTTGATGTTTATGCTGATTTACATTCTAGTAATCGTCTTCTTTTTCTTAATTTATAGAATTAATCGTGGACAGAGGTATTATGTTAGGGAGTGGCAAAAGCCAGTGGCAATATAGTATTCTACTTTGGGTTTATATTGTCTATTGCAGTGTTAGGGATTGAACTCATTCCTTCGTTAATTTTATCTAGAGATGAACCACCTGTGAAAGTTGATTATTTAAATGGTTGATAGCTCTTTGTTGTTACCTTATCCTGTAGTTTCTAGTATTAGGTATCAATTTGGGTAGACTATGTCCATTGCCTCATTATTAGATCCATGAATTGATCAGTTTATTGAAAATATAGTTACATATTTCTCAGACTTTGCATAAGTGGTAACTTCAAGATCAGATAGCATAGCAGTATGAATGGTTGAAGTGTATCTAATGTTATCGACCAAATACGCCAAGTTTTCCTTCTTGCTGTGTGCGCATTTGACTGTGCCAGGAACCGTCATCTTAAGGAGATCAATGCGACTCGAGAGTTGCATTTAACTTCTAGCGATGATTACGTCAGTCCATACAGACTCCAGAAACAGTGTGATTTTGCAGCAGCTAAATTTTGTTGCCTATATGGGACAGACTAAATGGTTCTTTTTAAGCGAACAGCATTCATTAATTGCCAAATTTGTGCAGAAATCAATCAATTAGTATTTCAACAAGAAAGTCTATTTGTTGAAAGACTGGCATTTTGTGCATGAGAGGGAGATTGTCTTACGAATCCAATCAGCCAATTTGTAGTGGGAGTGTGGATATGTGCAGGCTTTTATCCTAAAGATGTGAGTGAATGATTATAGTTTGCAAAAGTGGCTTCAGGCAGGTTCTGAATAAAAGTACTCGTTGTTAATCGATGTGATATTGATTAGTGGAGAAGTGTTGTACATGTGAGATACGATGTGGATGAATGAATAATATGCTATTGTCTGAAATACATGTACATTTCTAAAATGCATGAACCATCATTTCTGTTTATCCACATAAATTTGTGATTAATCCACTGCATCAGACGAATATGTGTACGTAGTACAGATGTACCTCGTGTGGATTATATTGAAATAAGAACAAGGAGAAAGATTTTAGATCATTTAAAGAGTTGACACAAATGCTTTATGGATTCTACATTTAACATTTTAAATGTTTTAAAATTCACCCCCTAACGAAATGGATGGTGACAATTACTTTTGTTTGAGATGTGTTACTAAAGAGTGCAATTAATTTAATGATCCTTGTAGTATCGTTACCGTATTGACTTCCCACACTTTTGTAATTGGACATAAATCCAGGGGGGGGGGGTGATATTCTGCCCATTTGACTTCAATCATAAGAAGATTCTAAAGCTTTTCAATCAGGTTTATTTTTGGAGTAAATTTTTGTATTGATGTGAAGATACTGTACCTGCAAAAACTCTTGTTTTTCTTGTTTCTCGGATTCTCGGAATGCCCTAAATCACATTGTGTAGAGTTATACAATTGCCCATGTGGATACTCAGTATAGGCATGTAGTAAAGATAGGATTCCAATTAAACATTGGTGCAGGACAATTGTGAACATACCTACATGTATAATTATATTTAATCCCATATATAGAATCCTATTACTAATCCGCTTTTTGTGGATATGCTTCTTTGTTGTTGCCTGTACATGTTATTGAATTGTATCACTGCCACAACAGATGCTGTATATTCTCAAATAGTATATGATTTTTTTTTTTATTTACTTGTATGATTGTATGTTCAAAGTTTTATAATTGTTATACTTTTGTTTTCATTTGTTTGTTACTTTGTTTTGTCCCATTTCCAGTTTCTTATACTTCAGAACAGAGAGAGTTTGGTCATTGTGTTGTTAAGTTTCATTAGTGGATCTTTAGCTTCAAAGAAAAAACATGTACACATTTATGCAGAATTATAGTTTATTTACTGCTTGGATGTTACACTTTGTATTGTCTACATGTAGATGACCTTTAATACTCAATAACCTCCACATCCCCTAAAGACACTGACTCAATTTGTGATTCCTGTGAAGTTGTGTAGAGGTACAGTATGGGAATCTCCATTGAAATTACACTGCACCCACCATCTGTAGCACAATTCAAGCCACTTCCTGGCAATTCTTATTTTCCCATCTGTATTGTATCCGAGTTAGTTTAATTAGGAAAAAACAAGTCAAAAGCTTATAGCTATATGTGTTTACATGTATGTAGGTCACATTATGGTTTGGTTCTTTCCAGAAAAAAAGGGACGATAGCATGTGTAAATTTATTTACCTGATTTTACATTTGTTTCATGTAACACTCATCAACTATATACATACATGTAGTATGGTATGATGTGCTCTTTGCATTTTAAGTAGGTAATCATCGTTATGACAGTGGTGCGATGAGAATGCATAGTCATTTCAAGGACTCAAGTCCAGTAACCTAATACAATACCAAGAAATATGTCATTTCATACCTTATTAATTATATTTTTCATTGAGAAAATGATGAAACATTTTCTTTTGAAAGAACATATTTCACCAAAGTTTTTACTAATGATGTACTGGTACTGCACATTTATCCAATCTTAAACAAAGCTTTAATTTATATTGGTCTGATGTTTACAATGAAATACTGTTTAGATGTGTACAGTCTATACTTCTTGCGTGCATGGCTATTCTGTGCCTGTTTGGAGAATACCTTTATTTCATTTCAACCTCCTGTATATCTCAGATATTGATTTGGATTGATATTCAGAAATAAAATTCATATGTGTGATAAAATTTGACTTCAAATTATTTGTTGCTGTCGAGAATACAGATTGTTGGATTTAAACAAATGAATAGAAGTATCGTTAGGGAAGAGATACATTTTTAAGTACAGTAAGTATCCAAATGAAGGAAGAGGCTGGTGTGTGTGTGTGAAGAGAGAGAGAGAGAGAGAGAGATCGGTAGGGAAAGGAAGATTTTTTTTTAACAACCTTCAGATGCATCGGTGAATTCAGCTCAAAGCCTAATGTACCCCAATTTTCTATTTAGAGGGTTGTTGGGTCGGAAAACGAGGGTATATTTTTTCTGTTTAGTTTGTAAAGTAACGAAAGATACATCAACGACCCTTCCCCCCCCCCCCCCCGGCCAAAAAAGGATTTTCCAGAAATACATGTACTCCCGAACAATCCTTTTAGAAATTGTCATTGTTGAAATTCGTAAACATTATCTACTTCAGCTTAAAATTTACAAACGAATTTCGGGAAACAAGGTCCGATATCTATTCGTCGAGAAAGATCTTTTATTATTTTCTTTAAATGTGATTTGAGTCCCGGTGCTCTTGCCGACACAATGACGTTCACAATTAACATTGCCACGTTGCCAAAAGCGAGTTACGAAATATCGGGTGTTACGAAATACATTTAGAGGTTCCTGCTTGCAATAAGTTAAAGGTGAACCGCAATCTAAATTTTTAAATATTTTGGTACAATATTATAACAAATCGTCCTCACGACGTTTATCGTCGACTGCCCTGTCGTTTGATTATTGCTTATTTTTTCTTCCTAAATCGATATGGAAAGGTTGGGGGGGGGGTGTCGTTGTTTTGTTTTGTTGTATGAGCAGGGACATCGCCGGGGGCATCGCTCAAAAGGGGAGGGTGTCATTCAACCTTTTCTTTTTAGTGGGCAAATATCAGAATTTTATGACTGTTCTTTTGACTTCACTATATTGAAACCGAATACATTGTTGAACGAAGCGATAGTAATCTCGAATTGCCTGAGTACATTGAATGATTGCAGATTGATTGTTTGTTGTTTCATAATGTCGCTAATAACTGTACTATACTTTGTTCGCAAAGAGTTCTCATTACATGAATAGCCTCCCGAGTGCCAACAGTCTCCAGCTCGAAACCCAAACTGATCATAACCCAGAAAAGTTTCTGGCTTTCTTGGTACATGTACACTGTTGGTCATAATGGTGGAATAAATATTTTTACCCCAGTTTAGGGAAGGATTTTAAAAAATTATTTATTTCTAATAGATCTAGATAATGGCATACATTCTCAGATTTTATTGTATATCAATTTGCAAATGTTTGTTTTGCGTGACTGCTACATCATATGTGTGCTACTATGCTAATTAGCTAGGGAACCTACGTCCTTACATCATAATTGACAGTAATGAGGATTAATGCCTAAAAAAAGGGCACTAATATAGCTGATCGACACGATTTTTATCCTGGGGCCTCACAGTAACGAGGCCATTGCTTATAGCCCCTGAATCATGACTGTACGCAGTTTTTGCTAGGGTACGCGGCCCCTTCCACAAATCCCCCAAAACGAAGAAAATGCAATAAATTGTCAAAAATTCATTGTATTTTCCCCCGGCCCCCAACAGGAAAAATTCCCCTGTGTGGCCATGCCTTGAACCATAATGCATGGCCCTACAGAGGAATTTTTCCTGTTAGGGGCCGGGGGAAATGCAATGAATTTTTGACAATTTATTGCATTTTCTTCGTTTTGGGGGATTTGTGGAAGGGGCCGCGTACCCTAGCAAACACTGCGTACATTCATGATTCAGGGGCTAAGCAATGGCCTCGTTACTGTGAGGCCCCAGGGTAAAAACCGTGTCGATCAGCTATATATTAGTGCCCTTTTGTGAGTAATTAATCCTCATTACTGTCAATTATGATTTAAGGACGTAGGTTCCCTAACTGATTAGCATAGTAGCATACATATGATTTAGCAGTCACGCAAAACAAACACTCGCAAATTAATATTCAATAAAATCTGAGAATGTATGCCATTATCTAGATCTATTAGAAATATTTAAAAAAAATTAAATCATTCCCTAAACTGTGGTAAAAATAAATATTCCACCATTATGACCAACAGTGTACTTCTTTTTGTGATGATTCTGAGTACAATCTTAGAGGCATGGCATATCAGACTTATTGTACGAAAGTCGGAGCATTTAGTAGCAATATTTGTCTTTGGTACGGGAATCATACTTGTCCAAAGAAAGTCTCCAGGCTAGTTACTAGTTTCATAGATATTTTGACTTAACCTCTAAAATTCTTTCACTGCTTCCCCGGTGAGATTCTTTAGAAGTTTACCTGGTATGTCATCCCTGGGACCCGTTTCACAAACCCTTTTTCAATGACAAATGACAAAAATCAGTGACAAATCTGCTGATAACCAATCAGAAGCAAGGTCTTCATTAGATTATATAACAAAAACTGTCATTTGTCACTGATGACAAGTTTTGTGACCCCCCCCCCCCCCAAAGGTGTTCTCTCGTCCTTTGTTTCTGTTAGAGCCTTTTTAACTTCTGAGCTTAGTTGCGATGGAACCATATCATCTTGGTTTACTTGCTCTAATTTACTATCCATTTAACATTCAGGTTTTTCTTCCTTGTACAATTCTTCTATGTGTTCTATCCATCTCTGATATCTGAGACATCAGTCTTCTCAGGATTTTGGAATCTATTCCTATACAGATTTTTGTTGTTATCTGATTCATCGAGTCCCCTAACTTTGGCATACATCATGGCGCTCTTCTCTCAAGCTTCAATCTCCTCACACTTTTATTCAAGACACTTTTCTCTGGCCTCGTCTGTTTCCCTGCCTGCGAAGTGCGTTATTGAGTTGTCGATACATCCGTTTTCCCTCTCCTGTATTTATCCCTTTTCACCATCCCCTTACCTCTTATCCACCATAGCCTATGTGACCCATGGCCTCCTGGGTTCTCGCCCGGAATAGTCTCCTCCGTACTTGATTTGATGTTTTCTTTAATTAAGGTCCAGTATAGCTTTGTGACAAATTAAAGAAAATGTTGCTGCTAGTCGCTTTGAATTAGGGGCACATCACACATGTTGTGGAGAGAGAAACGGGAGAACTTATTAAAAGGGAAAAGGGCACAGTATCAAAATAAAAAGGGCCATTACCACAGGTGAAAATGGGGCATTTTTCTGAACCTGAAGAGGGGCACTAACCAGAGATTTTTAAAAGGGGCAATAATAAGAATAGAAGAGGGACATCTAACAGATTTGGGGCATCTTTCAGAGGTGAAATGTGGCATTTATGAGAAAGGGAGGGGGTACTTATCAGAAGGAAAAAGGGCACTAATTACAAAGGAAGAGGGGCGTGTCAAAGTAAAAAGGGCAATTATCAGAGGTGAAAAGGGGCACTCATAAAAGATGAACAGGAGCACTTATCAGAAGGGGAAGGGGCACTTATCCCCTATAAAAAGGGGCACTTGTCAAAGTGAACCGGACACCTCTCAGATTCGGATAGGGGGCACCTTTCACAAGGAAAAGGGGGTTCGTGTAAAAAAAGGGACACTTATCAGAGGTAAAAAGGGGCACTTATACGGAGAGAAAATGGCGATTTTCACATTAAAAGGGGTACCTATTAAAAACATTTGAATAAAGGCAATTATCTGAGGTAAAGGGGGCACTTATAAGAATGTGGAACGAACAATTATTTGAAAGAAAAAGAGGCGCTTTTCCTGTTTAAGAAGGGCACTTTTGGGGGTACTTTAGGGTACACCCCGCTCCCGGAGCACCGGCTACTTTTCTGGTATTAGTTGCCTGTCTAAAAGGAATGCTGTTCTTCTCAATGGTATAAATGCCCCAAGTCGCCTCTCTTGACGCGCATGTTTCTTCTGAATCCACCAAAGCGTATTGTTCCTAAAGAACAGCGACATAAAATAATAACTATACGACAATACGATATCCATAATTTCCCAGTTTTATTTAAAAAAGAAAAAATAGGTACTTTACATAATTGTGACACTTTCTGTTATGCAATGCCATTGACTTTTCAAGTAAACAAGTGAACAGTTTGACGATAAACGTAACAAAATACATGATAGATAAATATTACACTAATAAAGCCTTACTCTTCTACACTTGAAAATGCAATTACATAATTTTTCAAATTCAGGTATGAATCATTATATGCAGTTTTTTAAGTAGCCTACATGTATCCAGATTTTAAACTGAGCAATTTGATACCCAGATAGAACGAGTATCTCTGGCTATAAAATTCCGAAATGATATCTTTACAAATACAAGCATTCGACATCATAGATTATTTATGACATTATAAATTACATTATGGAATGGGTTTGGTCTGGAATGGGACAATGGATGCGGGCACTGTGTGGTAACAAAGGAAATTATGTGAGAATAGAGAAATGAAAAGAGGAAAATCCGTCAGGAGAAAACAGTCAGCAGGGCCGGGGTGGGGGTAAAGTGAATTTTCAAAAGATAGAGACATAAAGAAGATTGGGACGACATCGGACGCAGAAAGAGAGAGATAATAAGATGCATGATCTGCTAATGAAGAAGAAGTGAGATACGGGGCTATGAAGAGGATGAAGGGGAGGAAGAAGAGGTGGAAGGGGAAGAAGATTGATGAGAGAAGGAGTACAATAGGAGTAACAGCAGCAGCAAGAGAAGTATTATCAGCAGTAGAGGTATCAGTAGCAGCGTATGATGTATAACAGGAACACGAAGAACAAAACGAAAAGGAGAAGGAGAAAGACAAAAATAAGAAATAATACAGGGATAGAGATTAGAGTGTGCAGATGAGACTGGGGAGGAGAGGTTCGGAGCCGAAGAGCAAGCCGACGTCAAGGACAAACGAGAAGAGTACAAAGGTGGAGCTGATTCGTTCTCCAACTATCCGATCTATAGATAACTGTAAAGCGACATGGTTCAAGGTTCGAGTCCAGCCGCGGGACTCGTGTCTTTTAATTAGCACGACATTAATCTTTATTTGTCACTCTCCACCCAGGTGATGTTTAATGGGTACCCGGTAGGAAGAAATTCCTCGAATGCCAGAGCGCGTTATCAGGATAGCTCTGCTATCGCCGGGGCCCGGGGTAATAATAATATAGCGCTTAATTGGAAACATTAGGATTATGCGTTAGAAATGTTACATGTACCGGTACATGTGTATTATCATTCTTCTTATCATTATTATTATCATTATGAGATAGCTTTACTTAAATGAAGTGAAACCCAAATATGAACAAGAGCAATAGCCTCATAATATAAACATAGTTAAAACATGGATATTCATCGTCTTTATTTCTGTTATCGCTCGCGATCCTGTTCACGAGAAAATATCATGACCTTGCATGTATATATCTCTTGTTGATCACTGCCTGCCCACAAATAAATAGGCTATGTACCATTACAACTTACATGTTCTAAAACAAGATTTTAAAAATGTTGAAGTGAATACATTCGTTATTCCCAAAACGATAAAAGAAGCATATCAAATATATGTTAATCCAGACATAATAATAGAAGGGGATCAAAATGACTTTTCAACTGCTTGATGAAAGACCCTATACGAGAAGAATATTGATAAGAGACATGACAAATCTCTTTTGGCATCACAAACAAACTTATTATCTTTCAAGGAATCTAGAAAAAGAAAAAACATTTAAAAACAAACAAAAGAACAAACAATGAAAGAATAAAAGAAACACATGCTCCAAAAAAAGAAGAACAACAAAAAAGGAGATGAAAATGAGGAATAAAGCACCAATATCAGTCAAATAACCCAGAGCAATTTTAAATTTAAGAAAAACAAAGAGTGTGGAAAAAATCTGAAATGATTGTCTATTAAAAGTTGGTCAATAAGGAATTTACCAAGTATCAGCCCTTTACATACCTGCAAAAATAACTAATAGAACTTATTTACATTCCAGATTTTAAACAAATTTACGAGATAATCATCTTCATGAAATGTTAAACCGACGATCGATTTCAACTTTTAAGCTGCATTTGCCACATATATTCTGCCGGTCACAGACATTTCTAGTTTTCACCTGAAAAAATACAAAGTTTTCCAAGACTGTGTTTAAATTTTACACTAATGACAATAAAAGATAAAGGAAACGTCATCTAAAAGTATAATCAGTCATAGCTTTCTTAATGTAACCATAAAGTAAATAGTTAGAACAAAAAATTGATATGAAGTAATCACAATTTAGGATCTACCTGCATTGTGAGCTATGTGCAACAAAGATGTAAAACAATTAAGATAAAGCATTGAAAAATGACTATAAGACTAGAAAATATAATATATAAAAGTGATACAACAAAATATACAACCTCTAACTTACCCTTATATAGGATAACAAACAATATTGCATTCTGACTATGTGAATTCACTATTATTCAGTCCTTATTCTTTTTTACAAATAAGAATCTCCAACAGACTTATAATTGATCTGACCCTATTTTCTAATGCCCATATGTTGTACACATGTCCTGATGAAATTGGCTACAAAACAGGCTACATGCAGATGAAGACTGTTTAATTTTGAAGCTTCACGTAAGTCCTGATACAATATTGCTATGTATTGTATGGACCATGTATGTGCTCCAACATATGAGTTTTAGAACATAGGGCCAGCACTTTTCAGCTTCATACATTTAGACCACTTTTCTACAATCTAAAGAGCATGTACAAGACAAATATGAAAAACATTACAGGGATTCTAAAAGTGACGCCGGAAACTCACAAGAAGTGTAATTCTACAATACGACAGTGATGCATAATAATCAAATGGCCCCCTCCTTTGCAAATGTCATAGTTGATTTTTAAATTTTGTCCATTAAGTGATACTAAAAGTAGAGTAGTTTATCTCTCATAACTCTAATAATAAAAATATTTAAAAATCATACATGTAATTCCATATCTTGTTAGTGTCTTTCTTGTGTTTTCCTTTTAGATGAGTGAGTGCACTGTCACTTGGCTGCCAAGTCTTTTATTTCTACAATTGCAATTTAGTTTCAATCTATAAAGTACATGTACATCCTGCATTTTTCATGACAATCATCATTCTTGAAAACACAATTTTCTAAGGTTATGAATGTGATTTTGTATTTAAAATAAAAAAGGAATTGTAGTGGTATAGAAAGTGCTGTAAAAATAGTATCAAATACTTTTTATCCTAGTAATACTTCATCTCTAATTAAATACCATTAATTGTGCTTAAAGAAATGGAAGTTTAAGTTATCACAACTCATTATACCTTTCTAAAAACATATCATCAGGATGATATCTTTACTTAATTTTCTAGATTAATTATCAGAAATATCTTTTTAAAAATTTATTTCAACTGATCAACTGATAAACTGATCATGTCTAGCATAAGAAAGTCTTATTTTCTCTAGAGCTTGATTCCATGAAAATTGTTGATCTTTAACTAAAGCCCCAGTCACACTTTGATAAATTTGATCTAAGTGGCTCCGTCTACAGTTTAGACCCGACCCCATTCACTCTAGATAATTCATACACATTCTCATCAAGTGAGAATCATGGGAGTGTGATGTGGGCCCTCACCTATTATGTGAGGTCTACATGTTCATTCAAGATGTCTTCTGCTTGTATACTTAGTGACATAGTTAAAAGGCCACAATGAGATTCCCTATCCAGTACTATTTCCTTCAAATGGTAAATTTTATTATCTTGAATAAAATAATGATGCTAAAACACATAGGCCTACAGAAGAGATGATGTGTTATAAGGCTTTCCCAAGGTCAATCTTCTTCTGTATTGCTTTTGCCGAATGGTAGATCAACGAATCAATCAGTCCTGCAACTGTATACACACAGACAAAAAAGACAAATAGAATAATAACATTACAATGTCTTGATATTTATCTAACAACATAAAATGAATAGCATCAATGATTAAAAAGAATGTTGACTTGTAGGGAGAGGTGAAAAAATGTTCCCTGAAGAGCATGGCTCTTCAAATACCTTCATATTCTAGATATGACAAGTAACAGCTTAAAAATGAGGCCTGGTTTTTATACCACATGTTTGTGTAATCCCACATGCATCTTCCTGTGTACAGTGCCTGTTACTTTACCAAGACTAAACCAAATTTATTCTCAGTTTGATGACTCTAAAACCTTGCAATGCACACCAATATGCTACAATACGCTACATGACCAACTTTTCTGATCGATCCCACAGTTTTTTTCTCATGACCAGAATTCAATTTTATCTTTAAGTCTTGATATACTGTTCTATAGATCATATTATGAGATGAACCACTGATATTAAATTGACTACAAGTTCATGGCCTATATAACTTGTACAGAATATTCTGAAAAAAATATATTCTTCCATTCATAAACCTCTTACCTGTAAAAACTCCCCCAATGATTGCACAAACTCCAGTCAGGAAATGCATAAATGATCTGGAAAAAAATACAGTTTGAGAATTTAGTCAAATCTTTACAATACCTATAAGAAAAAAAGTAATTGCAGAGACAAAATTAAATTTATATGAGAATTATGCAATACTTCAAAATCCTTACAAATGACAATTTTGCCCATGGTTTTATCATCTTCAATCTTCATGATGAAAATATATTAATCACTTATTTAGTGTTATTCACAGAAGTTGAAGGATTTGAATGGGAACTTTATCAGTGATCCCTTGTGGTTAATTTCTGCATATCATTAGTTTAAAATAAATTTGTCAAATGAGCAACTCACCTATGTTTTTCTGTAAATTTGACCATAAGTGGAGAGAGCTCGTACAGTACAAAGACGCCAGGTAAGCCGTGCTCTCCTGTTGAAAATGAGGTTGTGACCTGCTTCTCATGTTTGGTAACAGAATACTGATTTGTCCTGGTTATAGATTTGTCTAACTTGGTATATGTTGTAGGAACAATTTTGACAAAGTACTGAAACATAGATGAACCTGAAAGCAAGAAAACAAAATAAAAAGAAGAAAGTAAAACATCTACAAAATAATCAGAGATTACAACATTTAAAAAATCATGGGAATTGTTTATTGAGATTAATTTCATTACCCGTAATCCATTCTTTGATATATTTATTATGATAACAATTCAATAATTAAATTCATATTGGTGATTGTTATTTAGGGAAATCAGTTAGCTCAATTAACGTACATAAAGGATAAAAATAATGATGTAGACATCTCATTTTAAGAGTTCAATAGTGTTTCATCTAATTCAGTATCTATATCAAATATATACATACACACACAACCCACACATCAACCAAAACAACAAACATAAATTTGGGAGCTAAAAGCCTCAGGCAATTAAGAATCTTTGTACGCATCTTCTAAGTTCTGAATATCCACTGAGGGATCTTGAGCATAAATGTATCTAGGTCTATCCTCTTTTTTTTCTTCTCTTCTCCTTATTCTTCAATATCACAAGAAATAAAAAAATTAATAAAAAAAATTATAAAACAAACAAAAATGCCTAAGGGTGGTATTCTCGAAAGCGAACTAACTTTAGTCCATGGTTTAATTCTGGTTTAATAAGTATATAATGACAAGTGTCCATATGAATATATTTTGGAATAATTTGATATGTCCCTAAATTACCATGATACCTTAATTATTTCATAGTTATATTGTTGTTTATTAATTATGTTATTACATTTTATTTTAATTTAATGACAGATTAAATTATTCAAAAACATATTCATATGGACACTTGGCATTCCATACTTAGTCGGAGGATTAAACCATGGACTAAAGTTAGTCCACTTTTGAGAATACCACCCTAAGAGTTTATTTTCATAAATCCTCTGATAAATGAACAGAGAGTATATCAAAGAAAGTCTGAAAACTTATAGCCATAAGTGCATGAGATTTTTTACTCATAGAATGTGGAGCCTTCATTTTTGTTTAAACCTCTAGCAATTTAGTAAAATTGTAATTGGTTTGCAATGACTGATCAATAGCAATTATTCCATGAAAAGTCGAAGAGATTAAATGTAAAAGGAAAAGATTTTTCTATAACAAAAAAGAGAGAAGAATACGAGAGGGAGAGAGAAGGGGAGGCTGATGCGGCGAGCCTATTATATCCTTTCCTAGCGCAGGCTGGGCGCAGCCTGGGGAAAGAGACTATAGACTACACGACTTCAATTTTGTGGATCAATTACACTCGAGACAGGAGACGTGACTGAAGCTGCGAGAAATTTCAGTAGAATTGTGCTTTTACATTAGCTGGTAAGATAAATTGAAATGCTAGCAGTAAATTGTAATATTGCTACACCATCTGCGGTAAACCATTGTCTTTTCAAAGCTCCCGCAGAGCTTTAGCGCAGTTTAAAATGAGTACACGTAACCAGGGGGTACACAGATATATAGAGGTGGGACCGAAGTGAAGCGGAATTAAGATTAAGAAGAAGAGTGGCCATGGCATGGATATATGGACGCACACGCCGATGTTTGTCCTGGCTAGCCAACTAGCTACTGCCGCAGTACTGGTCGGGGATTCTACTAGCTGTCATGCTCGTGCAAAATAAATTCGATTAGGTCGTAGACAGTAGGATTGGAATACATTTTGAGATAGCACTTTAATGATCTTCCATGTTATATTCCATATTTTAGATGTTAATGTTTCTCTGTTTGTTAAGCCTAGGGTGGCAAGGGGATATTTTATGGTTGAAACTTGAAACTAGCAACCTATAAATAATTTCCTATAAATAATTTTAGCCCCCTGAATTTTTTTGTGCAGAAATGCAACTGGGTCTGGGAGCTGGAGGTCTTGAATTTAATTGTGTTTAGGATGAGGTTGTTGAATGTTATTTATTTTTGAATGACATCTAGTCGGGATTGACTCTTTTTGCCACAGATATTCATTGTAATGTCTAATGACATGTTTTATTAAAATAAAAACATCTAGAAAAGCTAAAATCATATCATGTATACATGAAAATGAAATTGCAACTTAAATTGTCACCCTTGTGACCCTGAGTACAAGACTTGAACATATTTAAATGCTGCAAAATTACTTTATTTAATATATAAGTTACAAATATTTGTGTGCTGAGAACACAGCATTCTTCCAGAATCTTGGGTAAAGGTAACTAAAGGTGATAATCAACATTTGTTAGTGTTGTGAAAGATCCTGTCTCAGTCATAGTTGTCCTTTTTGTTTTTCACTGCCAGTTACTCATTCTCACATGTGAGAGTTGGTCTATATATAACCTTGTAGACTGTCGGCTGAAAAACTGTTAACACCCTGAAGATCTCCTCGATCAAGGTTAAAATTTTAGAGAACCAATTGAAGGAATTGTATAGAAATATACAATACCATCCCCTCAAAATGTCCTGATACAAGAAACCCCTTCCCCTGCTTGTATGATCTTTGATTTGTTATCTTTTGTGATACCCCCTCCCCTCCCTCTCTTCAGGATAACAAGTAACCAAGATGCCAGTGTCTATGCAGCCTACCTCGGGACCTTCCTGCTTTGACAGGGTTAAGATGGGCTTCATGATCGGTTTTTGTGTTGGAATGGGGTCAGGCGCACTCTTTGGAGGATTTTCCGCTCTAAGGTACACCCTAGAAAATTATCTTTGATAAAATAAATGATGTATTTGTTCTGTTTATTCCATCTTAGGCCAAATTTAGCAATCCAATTTTGTTGGATGACCAGTACCGGTAGTTAATATTTGTTGCAAAATATGTACCTCAAAATATGTCCAGAAGATTTGTTATTCTAGTAAGCAATTCAAAGAGGTTAGTCAAGTAAGTTAGTCAAGCTACTATGGAAATAACCAAACAATTTTGCTTGTACAAGGTGCCTTTTTTCTAATGTAGCACAAGTTGCACCATGTTTGATAAGATTTTGCAGACATATGAGTTGCCAAATAAATGATAAACAAGATTTTTAGGTTAAAAATGTTTCCATTTACTGAGGGGCATGTTGTTTGTCCATACAAGTTGAGAATTCTGTTCCCATTCATCCTAATGTGTAGGTATGGTCTACGCAGTCGTGAGCTGATGAATACAGTAGGAAAGAGCATGGTGCAGGGAGGAGGAACGTTTGGACTTTTCATGTCAATTGGTACAGGAATAAGATGCTGAGACATTGCTTCAAGATGGAGGAACAATCTCAACATCTAGTATGGACTCTAAAATCATGAACTGATCTCTTTGAGAGGGATACTGTGACATTTGTATAATTTTATACAAGGAATTGACCAAGTTAATTTGCTGATGCTCCAGTTGTGATCGTAACAGATCACTACTCTCCAGTGGTTTATGTGGAGTTGTGGGTTTCTAACTGATTGACGTGACTGATCTTACAAGTCTGATAAGCATTATTTGGCTCAGATCTTTGTCATCCACAGGATAAGCAGTTGTTTCTATTGACCGATTTACAAACCTCATTCATGTACATTGTATCTGATATCTTTTATAATTTTCATCATCATCAGACTGTCGTGTCAATTTTAACAAACGAATCATAAAATGAAATTACATATACATGCAGAAGGGCATGCAGAAAGCTATGTCCATCTAAAGTCTTATTATACATGGACTTGTAGTTACTTCCCAACTGAAACCAAAATATTAATATGTGATGATTCCTATCTTTTGAAGTTTGTAGGACTAGGAGTAACTTGTTTAAAACATTGCCCGTAACAGGTGAATAACTCCAATAATACACATTTATGTACGTTTCTTAAATATATGAATAAATGGAACAGCATAATATAAAGAATTGTATTCCGATGTCCTATTATGAATTATTTTATTGGTAATAGCATTAATTCACCACGGTGGCAGTTTCTATTGTAATTACAGGCAAATGATTTAAATGAGCCTTTCTGTGGGGTCATCAAAATACTGCTACATCGCATTTTACTCATTGGTACACTCCCAATATTCACTGTTGTACCCCCAAAACACACAATTATTATACTATAAAAAATACAAATTTCAGTCAATTGCATGCATAGAGCTGATGCATGCAAGGTCTGATATATGAAGTCCTCGCAACTAAAATCCACATAGTGATGTCCATTTATAGAGAAAACACCAAATCAGTTTATTCAATCAAAACATATTCCCTGGGGGAAGTCGAATTGAAAGATGAAAGGGGAAACAGGGATAAGATAATTCAGGAGATAATATTGAAATGACAAGAAAATGATATGAGAAGACAAGAGAATTAAGAGAGAGATACAAAGAAATGGAGGAGGGGGGTTGAAAACCAACAACTGGAAATGCTGTGTACATTCATAATAACTTTCAGTTCAACTGACACTCGATAAAGGGTACTAACAATCAAACAATATTATTCTTTACAGGTATTGTAATCGTACATTTCACCAAATTTGCAACAATTGTAAGCTATTGGTAGTAGCACAATAGGTACAAGCACAGGTGCAAACACAGGCACTAGCATTAGCCTGAAGTTTGTTGATGTATATATATCTCTAACAGCTTTGTGTAAGTTGTGCGTAAGGTTATACCAAGGAGTTTTAAGAGCTGGAGTCCCAACTGGCAACAAATTATTCCAAGCAGCTGCCGTTTTCTAAGGTTGCACAATAGAATCTACAGGTCTGCTGTTACCTTTGATGTCTGAGGTTTGAAGCCGCCAATATAATTGGAAAGCTTGAGTAGTGATTTTTTTTCACACACAAATATTGTTAATATTTCACTTTTTATTAGCAAGAGGAAAATTTAACAGATGATAGAATATGAATACAAAAGCCTAATTGTGTCAAGAAATTTGCATACATTGTATAATTGCAGTTTTAATTTGTGGAAAATAGTAAAATAGTACAATCCTAAAAACCTGCAATTTGACACTTTTCCAATTACTTCCGGCTCACGCAAATAAAAATGGAATATGTTCTTGTACAGTTCTTTATGATGTTATATGTCAGATAAGTTCGCACACATGCCCAGTCAAGTAATTTTGATTAATATTTCAGGAAATTTTGCTCAAATTTCCTTTTGCTTGCCTCCTGTAAAGGTAAGCACTGTGTACTGCTCGTATTATCAGATGAGTGGGAGCGAAAAAGTTATTATTATTACAAAAGCATATTTCCGTTTGAAAGTGGCCCATTAGTTTGCAGCTAGGCAGAAATCTTATGTCTACGTATCGGCAAGAAAGATCCAGTTAAGCACATGCCTGACATATTTTCTCCTGGCGGCATTGAAGATGGTCCAAAGGGAATGGACTAGATGTGACTCCATCTCTTAAAACTCTTTGGTTATACATATAGTGAGAGTATGTTGGTAAACCTTGGCATAATGCCCAATGGAACTGAAGTAACGCTAGTGCTGAGTACTTGTCTTTTGATACTCACTTTTAACATTCAATAAGCAAATTCTATGCCACACTAAATACAGAACATGTCGTCTTTTTTTTATTCCTTTATGTTTACTCTGCTTTAACATTCAATAGGCAACTTCTTTCATACAGTATACAAAGCACCTTGATATGAACACTAGAAGGTTCTTCATTACCATAGCTATCTTTAGAGTTCAATGAGCTACCTCTGTGCAATGGTAGTAGTAGTAGTAGTAGTAGTAGTAGTGGTAGTAGACTTTATTGGATAGATGTGGTGGTCAAGTAGATACGTCACCAGACTGTCGATAACAGGGTCCGCGGTTCGAGTCCTGCCGCGGCACTAATGTCCTTTGGCAATACATTGATCTACATTTGCCACACTTAATCCAGGTGAGGTAAATGGGTACCTGGTAGGATTATTCCTTGAAATGCACTGTGCGCTCATAATGGCTGCCAGAGCTAAAGATAATAATTTCCAAAGCTCTTTGGAAGCGCATAAAGATGTTATTTTATAACGTATTATGGGCTATACAAGAACTGCGTATTTTTAATATAACTTGTTTAGCACAGGGCTAATCTGCCACAAGGTCCATTGCACATGTCACACATTGCTACCAAAGTTTGGATTTTCCCTTTAAATATTCAATGAGAAACTTTTGTGCCACAGTTTACAGAGCACCTTGCTACAGGTAACACATTTGGGTACATCCTATATAACACTCACATTTAAGATACAAGGAGCTGTCTCTAAGCATTAGTCTTTAACACAAAATGCACCTTGTATCGCTATCTACATGTAGGTTGAAGTTTTTCTTTTAAATACTTTTAAAAGTATCAATGAGAAACTTTCTGTGTCACAGTATACATAGCAATTTGCTACATGTAGCACTGTTGTGTTCTTCCCTAACAACACTCACCTTCAACATGCAATGGGCTTCTTCTGTGCAATAGTTTTTAAGGACATAAAGCATCTTGCTAATAAAAGTTCGATTTCCCCCCTCATACTGACCTTTAACATCAATTGTCTTCATATTGTCTAGAGGATTTTCCATGCCAGGATACTCCATGCCGAAAGACAATGTTTTAACGTGATGGGTCATGTTAAACTGAAAAGATGAAAAAAAGAATCGGAACAATTATTCACATACAATCTTCATATCTGAAGGCAGCATTTCTGGCCTTAAGTTGATGGAGGTGGTGTTTAATAGAAATAGAGGGAAAATATACTAAGTGAGCTATCTATTCATTCACAAATAGAATAATACCATGGTAGTAAATACGATGCGAATGACCTTTAAAATGGACCAAAATATTTCAGCCACATAAAAGAATGGTCCTACATGCTCAGCTTTTCAGTTTTGTGATATTCTGCAAAACTTGAAATTGTGTTTACTGATTTTGATGGCACTTCACTTCACACTATCTAGTTAACAATTCTACTAGCCTTTTTGAAAAGCTTGTTTTATAGTTTTATTTCAACCTGATATCTTTTAGGTACTATTATACCACACCACATACATGATGTTAAATTGGTTCAAAGTGGTTATGGACAGGAAAAGATCACAAATCCTCCATCAAATATTTCTCCAAATAAATAAATTTCATAAATTTCAAATAATCAAACAAAATCACATTAAATTTTAAAGAATACAAGTAAATAATATTGATCAAAAATTGATGAAACCAGCTATCTCCCTTTGTATTAAAGTAAAGTCACAACAATTACTAGCAAGTTTGTGTTAGTTTATTTATGTTATTTTGCCTTGTCCATACAACCCATCTATTGCATGTTAGATAATTCAAAATTACCAAATTTTGAATGAAATAGGCAGTTACCGTAACATTTACCCCAACATTTGAAACAATTTTTTGGTTATTGTTGAGAATTAAAATAAATAGATTGTACATGTATAAATACCTTTGCACCAGCGATGGCCTGTAAGTCATGAACATGAACATGATGCTGTTGGAAGCTCTTCCCTGGTGCAAAATGGAAATTTCCTGCAACCTGGAATTCAAAGAAGCAAAATAATGTTAATTTTTTTTTTTTAAAGTTCAAGTTCAATTTATTCAATACTTTCATTAAAAACATATAAAAATAAACGGAAATATAAAAGTTGAAAAATAATATCAATATATATAAATGAGAGTACCACAAGCAGAGCAGACAAGAAGAACAAAGGGGCAAAAACTAAACATGTACATTAATGAAAGTATTTGGAGACACGACAGGAAGGTCAGATTTATGTGAAAGTCCATCTCCAGTGATTGTATCAAAATAAACTATGTCTATTTAGCAGCATGATTTTTTTACTTGCACGTCATTGTTTTACTGTATAAAGAAATTGTACACCCTTTTGTTGTCTGCACCTTCACCTGCTGTCACAACACATCCCATCCCAGGATAGCTTGGAAAAGATGCTTCAGGGATTACCTCATCAAGTATTATTTAAATTATTATTATTATTATTATTTTTTTTTAAAATACATGTTGTGCATACACATGTGAATGGATCTTGAAAGAAAAATTCCATTTCAAATCCTTACATTGTGAACAATTTACACAGAAGAATATCTTTAACAAAGGTTTTAAGAAACAAAGAAAGTGAAACAAATATCTGGAGTTACCTTGTTGACCTCTAGATACCCGTATAGTTCACATCCTTCCTCCTTCTGTGATTGCATCTTCTCTGAGAAGCCTTCTCTCTTACACTGCTCTATACTGGTGGGATCACTGAAAGCCCAGCCCTTCCTACGGTACGCCTCCTGCACTCCTTCACAGTCATTACAACATCTGAAACAGAAGCACACATAATCATGGAGTATTTTAATTCAGCAAGGTTGGATACTACAGGAGTCCAAAGGCAAATGAGCCTTTTCAATTGAAGAGTACCCCCTCTCCTTTATGAAAATTAATTTAAATGACCCCTTGCATTAAAAACTAACTTTGGTGTTCTGTTGAAATATCACATTGAGTTCTGGGAATGGCAGAAGATAAATTCTCACAGAATTAAACAAAACTTTCAATGAATGTTTGAGACAACAAAACCTGACAAACGGATTTGCTTGAATCTGAAATAGCTGAGTAATGAGCAAATAAATACGAGGGAATCAAACTTGTAAGTCTGTGAATATATGATAACAGCCAAGTGGTTTCAGTAATGATGTTAAATGAGTAATAATCTAAAGAAACAAAGCTTGTGAGCCAGACCCCACGCACACCATTCATTTTGACTTTAAAGTTGAATTCTAGGACTGTTGGTGTCGTGGACATTTCTTGAAATTTTGGTCTCATAGGATGTCAGTCTACTAGGATGTCCCCAGGAATAATACACCGGTACTCACTTTAACCCAGGGGTTTCTGCACCGTAGCAACTCTCACACCGGTTTGGATCTAGTACTTCCATTTTCTTCTTTTCGTCCTCTTGTTCAGAATCCTCTTCCTACATTAAATCAATAATGTACAAAATTACAAATACAAATTGATGAATATCAAATTGCAAAACAGAAATGATTTTAGTGCATTCTAAGTTACATTTTTTTTTAGATAACAACCTGTAAGAAAGTAAGGCAATCAATGCAAATGTTCATGGCACAAGATTGATGATCTCCCACAATAAAAACTTGGGAAGGATAGCAAAACTTGGACAGGATAACTGAGAGGTACTATGTCCCATTTGCAGGCCCAAAAATGAAAAGGTTAAATTCCAATGGCATTTGAAAGACAATACTAATTTAGAACTTCCCTCAAAAAAAAGGGCTTGAAAATGGCTTTTAGTGGGAAAATAATGACCATTAGTTGTCATATCGACTTAAGTGAAGTAATAGTCTGATTTTCAGACCCTTTCACCAAATGGTTGTTCGGTTTGTGCTGCACAAAGATTCAATCAGTTTAATTTTGGCCATTAAAAGTACCGGTAGTGGGTTATTGATGTAGACAGATGCTCATGTACTTGTTACAGCTCATTTTAGGAATGATATTACCAAAGAAAATAGTGTATGACAGTGAAGTCTAGAAGGTTAATGGGTTTCCTTGCATAATATGAATACTTGGACACTGCTAATGTTTAAATTCCACAGATAGGACATACATGACATATTCATAATTCCTGCAAAGTTCAACAAAATTTGGTGTTGGCTACAAAAGGGACATACATGTAGTCTGTTTAAGAGAAAACGTTCTGGAATGTGCGATGACATGGAGAAGCCAATATATGTACACCAACTTTTCAGTTTGATTCAATGGATGAAATATTTATTTTTCTTCTTATAGGCACTTTACTTTATTAGCTACTGCTATGTCGTGTGAATCTCGTGCAAACCTCATGCAAGTCTTTCATTTGTTAGTCAACAATCTGAATTTCTTTATTATATCTATGATAACCTACACATACACAAACAATGATAGTTACAGGTCTTACAACTTATGGGAAGGGTTCAAAACTGGCAATATTAGTAAATTCTACTTCATATGAAAATAAGCTCATAAATATTCATTATTTTTATGGATATTTTTATTTTTATCGTTACATTTAGAAATGGCAACTTGTTTCCTTTAATTACTTACACCGGCAAACTAAACAAAAGTTTACAGCATTTAAGTGTTAAAACCTATTTTGCAAAGGACATCTTCATCTTTCAAAACCAACCCCCACCCCCACCCCCCCCCCCCCCCCCCCCCAACCTTATTCTGTCAAATTACTAGATATCGTATTCCGGGAATTGCAAACATTCAGGAACATGTATTTTGCAATATGACCTGAAGCATGCAGTCAAATATTTGTTGGCAATTTAATATATGGAAGCTTCGACATAATTTGTATGCACTAGTATGTGCTATGTCAGGAAAGCCTTAAGCAAAGTTTGTAAGTTTGGAAGAAAATTGGTATCGTGTAAAGCAACCTACTACATGAATTATATTATATATCTGTACTTCATTCTCTGATGAACAATGGAAAAGACCCTGCTGTTCAGAAAGCAAACTTGCTTCATATGCAAATTAGCTAATGAATATTCATTTACAGTCCACATGATGAACTTGTATGACTTTCGCTGATAAAATGGTAATTTATTGTCTTTATGAATCACATAGATAGCACTAGTAGATTCATATTTAATTGTCACTATTTAACAGTTGTCAATTTTATCAAACAATTGTGTCACAATTTTTTTTTTTAATTGTTTAAAAAAGGAAATCACTATCCAACAAAAAACATTAACCACTACTAAATATATTTATACTTATACCTATACAAACTGAATTCCTCCATGTAAATATTAGAGAGTTAATCTATTTGTTTTCTTTCAACATTCTCCAGCAGGACCTACTATTGAAGTCAATAGCAAGGTCCAACAATATAAATAAAGATAGAGTATAAAGAGGGTGCCCACTCCCTTAACCAGGCACCCAAACACTTTGTAGTAACCTGCCAAGATTAAAAAAAGTGAAGGGCACAGTTTCTATCAAGACGTCATTTGTTTACACCTTAGCAATAATGGGTACCGGTAATACAACATACCGTAGTGCATAATCCACTCTCATACACGATTACATCCCAAACCAGACAGGAATTCTAACTGCACTGGTCAGAAAGGGGAAAGGGAGGTCAAAAGCAGGACAGGTGTGGGGGAGGTAGTACAGAACTGCCGCCCTTGCTATTGTAATGGCCAATACCAGTAGTATGTATGACCATAATGTCTATTTCCATCAAGGCTCAAAATACACGGGGCGGTGGGCGATTCACCCCCGTGAGCTACACAATCACCTCCGTCAGAGTGGTCACGGGGGCGATTGCAAAATTAAAAATCGCCCCCGTGGAATTATAAAATAAAGATGATCTTTTCTGTTATAAATTTCACATAATATTGAGTTTCAACTTTCAAACCTCAAACCAATGAAATGGAACTATGGAAGTTATATTTTAATAGCATGCAGGACTTCTCGCTCGTATTTGTCAGTGTCTAGAGGCTGCCATATTGTAAAGAAATCTGGTGACTCCAAAAGACCAGCAAATAATGAACCTCGACTAGTAAATTAACCGAAAGCTAAAATTAGTAAAAGAAAACCTGTTGGCAAGGAGGCGAATGTATACGGGCTTGGACCAGAAACTTTGTACAGAGGGAGGAGATCTGACCATTAGCTGCATGTTATAACTTGTAAAGTTGTAAGAGGGAAATAATGCTGACTATTAATGATAAAGATGAAATAGCAAAGAATTTAGGAGTATCATGGGTACCAATTCAATGGAAATTTGTATTAAAAAAAGAGCCCCTGTCAGTACTAAAAGAGCCCCCGTGAGAAGGCTCATGGGGGCTCTTTTTTGTTGTTGAAGAGCTCCCATGGACAAAGAATTAATTTGAGCCCTGATTTCCATTAATTACACATTTGAGCCCAGCACATATTTGGACAATACAACAGAAAAACAAAATTGTAACTTGAATATCCCTCTAGGCAGCAAAGGAGTTGCACGCATATAATTATGGCCATGAATTAATACCTGGAGCCACCTTTCAAGATTTTTTTTTTACAGAGCTTCTTGAACCATCTCCTATTTAAATTGGCTTCAATCAATTATATTCTTCTCTCTGTATATCATTTACACTCTTTCAGAAAAATATTGTATGAATCAATTTTAAAAATACTATTGTAACAAGTGATAGCATGACTAATATGTTGCCAAATTGAAGATCTTCATTTATATTTTGTTGCTAATTTTCTTTAAAAAATCATTCCTAACTGCAACAAGGTTCTGTAACAAAAATAGAAGTACACTTGTTTGTACAAATCTAGTGTACATCCGTTCTTTTAACAATCTTCTCTTTCTTTGGGGATGATACAATAAATTGTCACTCTTTTAGGTTACAGAGCCCAGGTATGACAAATGTTTTTTTTTTCTTCTTTCATCTGTGTCATCTATGCTGTGTAATATGAACTATTCAAAGTAACAAAACACAAAAATAAGTTTATTTTATGGACTGCTATACTGCTCATAGCAAAAGTCTTTGACAAGACAGAATCATCAAAATCTGTGTCACTGGATGCCTGAAAGTGTGAAATATGGATAATCTGCATGTTATTACTATTTTTACAACATACTATCAAATTTCTTAATCGTAACTACTAGAACTTCAATTTCTTTTCATTTTTTTTTTTTTTTTTTTTTTCTTACTTCTTTCTTTTCTTGATCTTCTTTCTTTCCCAGTTCCTCTTTCTCTGGTTCACTGATGGGAGTTCCTGTCTTGTCAATCCTTCGCTTGTAGATGTTATGATCTACATCTAGTTGCTGTTCACCTGATATATCCATTGCATCAATACTAAGATCTAGAAATGAACATAGAAAGAGAAAGTCATTAATAGAAGTATGGACAAGTTCCATTTTGTTTCACTAATATTTAGATGAATATCAATAAGCTTGATTCCAATAACTGCAGTTCCTATGTATGGCCAAGCATTAAAATAGAAAACAGGAATATATCCATAACACATTGTCTAAATTATGTAGCCGTAACATTTTATGTAATTATAGTTGAAAGATACAAGTATATTCATCTGATTACGGTATGTATGATGACACTAAATATATTTCAATATGAAAATATTCTAAATTTATAACAATTTATAAGATCAAAGGAACTGCAATGTCTGTCTTAAATTGCTTTTACTCAGTTTTCATTCTGTTCACACTTCACAGAACTACAAGTTACATTTCTCTTATTACTTTTCTTCTTCATAAAATGCATGTAATAATTAATGTAAACTTTATTCAATAAAAATAAGAATTTTGAGATAAGAATAAATGTATTTTGAATTTCAAACTCACAAGCACAAGGCATTTTAGGAAATACTATCTCCATGTTGATCTTGAGTTTCTCTCCTCTCGTTGCATCTACATAGAGCTCTGGAATGACCTGCATAAAGAGCAAAGAAATTGGAAAGATTTCTCAATAAATGCATTAGCAACATTCAACAATATCAATATAGAAATGTAACTAACATATATATATATATATACAGCCACCAAAATATTCTTGCTGTAAATGGAAGTAGAAGTTGTAGTCATGTATTTGATACATGACTACAACTTCTACTTCCATTTTAATTTGGGTCAAGCACATATCCAGTTCTTTAAAGAGGGGTCCAATGGGCTCTTCATATGAAGGTCTCTCAGAGTCAGTGTGTTTGTCACTTCTTCCTAGGCTGATTTCTTGCAAGAAAATTACACCAGCGTTTGAAGTTTGTTACTTCTTATATTTTGAAGGACCTATATAATAGCAAGATCTCAGCCCAGAGGAAGAGCTAAAAGGTGCATAGGAGAGAACAGAAGTTTCAAGATATTTTTGTGCACAACTTATGAGAGAGTGCTGCCAGTTATGTCCCAATCATGATTACTCCAAAAATGAAGATCGATATCAATGTTTAGTGGTCACAATTTTCAAATATTTCTAACTTTCTCAAGTTATTTGTCAAAATTTGTTCAATCTTTCACCACCAAGATTTTCATGTTTTCACTAAAATAAAAACTTGTAGATTGGATTGCTGTTTAACATTTACATCATTGTAATTACAGCCACTGAAATTATTAGTATTGTACTAAGTACGTGTACATTGCTTACCTCCTTCGTCAGGTAAAAGTTGAGCTCTGAGATGAACAGTGTGATCATGATGATACTGCTTATAATCGTTACTAAAAGTGAAATGAACAAAATCAAAAGAAAAATCATAATTAGATCAAGGTCTACCAATCTCAATTTCTCTCTTTCTAATTCTCAACTCTAAGGTAGAATAAAGTGCCCTGGATTCGTACACCACCATGATTTGTGCACAAATTACACTCCTGACGACGGATAATCAACCTGTTCGAAACGTCGAGCCACTCCCGCCACGCATCCTCTCCAAGCGCTATAGTTCTCCTTAGAACTATAAGCTAAGAAAGAAAGATAACCAACAGTCTTTTTCAAGACTTCACCAACAGTCCTTTTCATGACTACAAACCCTCAAGAAAGATTACCGAGAGTCCTTTTTAGGACTCCTCAATCCTCCCTCTCTCTCACATGGTGCACCCGCAAGCTTACTGTATACAAATTACACTATTTAAAATTACACTAAAGACATCTAAACACACAAATCAATCCATTTCTTTGATTGAGTGGGAAAGCAGCTAAAGCAGCAAAGCAGAGCTCTGTGAATGCGTGCTCTGGATGGTCTCTCTGATATTTCTCACTGTTGTATTGATATGACGTCTCACTTTTTAATCTTGTTTACTTGTGTATTTGCATGCGAAATGTGGCTTGCCAGTTTGTATCCGAAATTGAAGCATACATTATTCTACCAAAGAAAAGTCGCCATTGAGGTAGAGGTGTCGTGGACGAGTGGATATGTCACTGGACTGTGGATCACAAAGTCCGCGTTTCAAGTCCCACCGCGGCACTAATGTCCTTTGGCAAGACATTGATCTACATTTGCCACTCTCCACCCAGGTGTTAAATGGGTACCTGGTAGGATGCAAAAGCTAATGTGCTTAGATTAGCAACTGTGCGCTTGTAAAAAAAAATGACGCCTGGCTGGAATGCTCCCCAGGGAGTGTGCATACATTGTGTGCGGGTAAGCCTTATTTCGATGACTGGGGTTAATAATATATATATTTGTTAAGAGGGCCTTCGGTCCTGAAAAGCGCTATATGTGTGTCAGGTATAATTTCACTAGATATTCTCCATTTTCAAGCATGACCTTGATACAAATCATATCACATAATTATTATAAATAAAGTGAGGCATAAAATATCTTGTTTTTATTATTTTCTTAACTAGAAAACAAAATTAGAATCTTTTTTCGCCTGGATGTGAGTTTTACTTTATACAGTATCCTCTGACTTGCAAATTTCAATTCACTTGTTGAGTTTCATCAATTTTTATAAATTGTTAGATGTCATTACATTAGTAACACATGTTTTCATGCAAATTGGATGATTATATTGTTTTTGCTACCATTCTCTTAGATTTTTATTTTTTCAAACATTTTGAATTAAATTAAGCCTCATAATCTCCATCATTCATGATGACTTCTGATGGATCGTGACAAAGACTAACTATTCTAGCTGATACTAGTATCGAATTCATGAATTTGTCGCTTATCATGGTTTTGTGAAACAGGTCGTCTGCTTCCTGACCTCTCCATAGGTTTGGGACAAAGATATGACTGTCATGGTTAGTGCTGTAACATCACGGATATCTCCAATTCTGTTTAACCGCCTGTCAAAACCGGACGGTTTTCGGTTAAACGATTTATTTAAAAAAAAAAAAAAATAAAATAAAAAATCTTTTTTTTTTTTTTTTTTTTTTTGGCCGTGTGAAAAAGCAGGAAGGTGATTTAACTGAAGGCGCCGATTTGTGCTTGCGAACCAGTCACAAATAATAGTAACAATGTGTTTTAGAATAACGTATAAGATCATTAAAGTAAATTAAAAACAGTAGAGGACCTACATGTATAGGATAGAACCTTGTGGTACACCATGTGTTAAACTTGGATGAATATATATTGAGATCTATTACAAAGATTACTTTCAAACCAAGATGACAGACAAATTGGAGTGTTGTTCTAGTTTCCAAGTGGTAAGTCATCACATCGCATACTGAGCTGGGAGACATTGCCAGGCATAGTGCCAGGTGGAGGGGCATAAATCGAAACTTTTAAAAAAAAAATTAAAAAAAAAAAAAACGGGAAAACGAAACCGTCCAATTGAAAACGGAATCCGCCATGGGCGGTCGGATACCGGACGGTTAAACGTTTGACTACAGCACTAGTCATGGTCATGGACTTGGTTTCATGAAACGACTGCCAGCCCAGGGACAGGTTTCTTAATTCATAATCTTATGTAAAAAGAGTTCTTACCATTTGTATAACCATTTGTTAGAAGTTGGTAAGGAGAAAACATTCAGCTTGGAATAAGCATCTGAGAAGTAGACGAAAGACACCTAACATCCTGTCACTGTCAACCAAACAAGGAAGGACTACAAAGCTGTCAGAAATCAAGCAACCTGTGCCATCAGATCTGCTAAGGGAAGATTTGAACTCCAGATTTTGAAGGAAGTAAAGAAGAACCCAAAGAGCATCTGCAACTACATTAAAAGCTAGCTGAGAATAGAGAATTTAAGTAAGCCTGATGGTTCCAAAGCAGAATCTGATACTGAGAAAGCTGAGTTTAATACTCAACAACTACTTCTGCTCAGTTTTTATGAAAGAAAACCTCAACAACATTCCTGAGCTTCAAGGGAGAGATTACTCAGCGTGCTTTGAGGATTATAAGAAGAGAGAAGGTTGATCTCTTGATTGAGAAGATGGACCAAAGTAAATCTGCTGGCCCCGATTGAATACACATTCAAATTCTAAAAAAATTAAAGCTTCATGTTAGTGACCCTATAAATCTTGAAGGCCCCTATAAATCTTGACCCTCCCATTTTATTATGGAACGCAAGGGGGAGACCCTTCCCGGTAGCACTACACATGCAGTGTGAGGGAAGGACCTACTTGTGAGGATCAAGGTAAACGTCCTGGTCTACCTTCAAGCTGGTAGGGGTTGTGAGAAAAATGACTTGTTCAGTTGGTGGCAGACAGACCAGGGTGGCTAGGAGAGGAGTGTCTCATCCGCCTAGGGTAACTATATGAGCGAAACTGGATGAATGATGGAAAGCTTCAAGTGTTTGAAATGGCTTGCCTTCGTCACATAATGGGGTGACAAGACTAGATAAGATCCGTAACACACACATCAAAGAATCCCTCAACCTCGATCAAGATGTTATGGACAAAGTCTCCAATAAAAGACTCAAATATTTTGGCCACGTCCTAAGAATGAAACCCACAAGATACCCCAAAATTGCATTTGAAGGAAATGTCACAGGAAATCGACACAGAGGCCGTCCACCCAAAAGATGGCTTGACTGCATCCGAGGACTGCAAAGCAAGATCCATACCAAGACTGACAGATGCATCAAGACTGGCTGCAGACAGAAACACTCGGCATGCCATCACCATACAGAAGCCATCACAAGGCCCCTGGCCTGCGTGGACGGCATAAGTCAAGTTAGTGACCGTTTCGCTGAAATATTCAACGAATCTTTGTGAACTGGATATGTCCCTGAGGTCTTGATCTTGGAAGTCAGCCAATGTGGTACCATTGTTCAAGAAGGGCAAGAAATCTGACTCAGGAGACTTTATATGCCAATAAGTCTCACCAGTGTAATTGGCAAGATCATGGAGACTGTGATCAGGGATGAAATTGTAGGTCATTTGGAGTCTAATGATCTAATCACTCAACATCCTCATGGATTCAGAAAAGGTCATTTATATGTTATACCCAGCTACTAGGAGTGCGGATGATTGTACCAAGCACGTGGAAACAGGTAGCAACATTGAATGCATTTACCTTGACTACAGGAAAGTTTTTACCTCATGCCAGACTGACAAAGAAATTGCGGGCTTATGGAATCCGAGGAAAAGTGTGGAAATGGATCTATCTCAACAAGTGATAGTGAATTGCTCTAAATCCTCTTCTTGCCCTGTCACAAGTGGTATTCCACAAGTAAGCGTCCTCGGTCTGGTATTATTCAAGATCTTCATAAACGACATTCCAAATTCATTCTCTGCATCCGTATCTTCTATAGTCAAAATCTTTGCAGATGACACTGACAAAGCTGAACTCTCCTTTGAACTCACTTGAAGATAGTGCTTCATTTGCCATTACAACAAGATCTAGATCTCCTTGCAAATTAGACGGACAAGTGGCAACTTCCCGTAAATGAGTCAAAGACATAGGTGATGCATCTTGGGAAGTCTAACCCTAATGTCAAATATAACCTTAACACATCAAATTTGAAGTCTGTGGTTATAGATACTGATCTGGGAGTATCCCTTGACAACGGCTTGAAGTTTTCAGCGTATGTAGACAGAGTTGCATTCACTGCAAAGAGGAATCTCGGCCTGATTCGTTGCACCTTTTCATTTTTGGATGAATCAGGCCTTGTACACCTCTACAACTAGTACAAGTCTTTAGTAAGGCCATCCTTAGAATATTTCTCCTGTGTGTGGCACCCTGCTCTCAAGAGAGACCGGCAAAAGCTGGAGAGAGTGCAACACAGGATGACTAAAGTTCCATTGGTGACTTGAAGTATTCTGACCGGCTTAGACATTTGAAGTTGCCCACACTTGCGTACTGTCGTCATATAGCTGATTAGACAAAAACGACCGTCTGGTATGGGTCATTCTTTAATAAAAATGACATTTGTCAACATTCTCCATACACAGACGGTAACTATTACGGTTCGCACAAGGGGGGGATGGGTGGGGAAGATTGAGCCGATTTTGTCAGGGTTAGCATATATCCCGCTTCGGAGGCTTATTTCCCGGACGCCGGGAAATAAGCGGTATTTACCAGTATTTACCGCTTTTTACAGGTATTTATCACTTTTTACCGGGAAATACCGGGAAATATATTTTCCACTCACTTGTTCATAGGGATTGTCCAATTTTGAACATAATAATAATGGTGGTGAGTATGGTTGCTCTTGTGTGTACTATTTGTGTGTGTGTGTGTGTGTGTTTGTTCGTGTGTTTGTCTATGTCTGTAATTATGTAATGCTGGAAAAAAATACAGGAAAAAGATACCAAATATACACCTAATCTAGATATGATGTTCTTCATTAAAGGGAAACAAAACCTTCATTACTAAGTTACTTTTATTGTAAAGTTTAAGATATTTGAATAAAATCAGTGAAAAATTGAACGAAATCAGGCAAGGAATAAGGAAGTTAAAGCTTTTTAAAATGACTAGTCACTAGAGGGCGATGACATCATTTGTGGACAACTCTCCATGCCTTTTGTACATCAAATTTCACAAGTCTTTCATTTTTTTCCTATTTATTTGTGTTCTTGATCAGATTTCATAACATGTGAAGTAGAATATCAGTTTGCATTCTATTATCTCAATCACAAGAAAGAAGGAAAAACATGAAATTTGATGTACAAAAGGCATGGAGAGTTTTCCACAAATCGTCGCTGTTTTCACGAAGTGACGGTAGTGAAAAAAAATTGCATTCACTTTGCGTGACGATTTTCCTCACTACCGTCACTTCGTGAAAACAGGGACGAAATGATGTCATCAAATTGAATATCGCCCTCTAGTGACTAGTCATTTCAAAAAGCTTTAACTTCCTTATTCCTTGCCCGATTTTGTTCAAATTTTCACTGATTTTATTCAAATATCTTAAACTTTACAATAAAAGTAACTTGTATGAAGGTTTTGGTTCCCAGTTGCTAATTACCATATTCATGAATACCTATTAATTAGCATATGCACAAAATGCCATTTGTTTGGGTGTGTACAATTTTGTATGCAGTGAGGATTTTATAAATCTGTTTGTGTGTTCCTACTATGAGTATTGTGCTGCTAATTATTTCAGAACAATATTTTCAGTTATGAGGCTAAAAACAAGTAAAATTATTAATAAATAGAGAATTAAAATCATATTTCCCGTTTTTTACATATTTACCGGACGCGCATCTTATTTACCAGACGGTATTTACCGCCGGTAATTACCGCCACCGGTATTTACCGCCCAACCCTGGATTTTGTACCACTTTCGGGACAAAAACTTTCTCCCTCGTTTTCCCTAATTTAGATCTCATTTTCTGATAATAAATAAATCAGATAAAAACAAAATATGTACAGGTATATTTTTCTTCTACATACAGTTATCAAAGTTTTTATCACCTATTTCCAAAGGCGAAATTTACGGACTTACTTTTTACGAGTTATTCAATTTTTATTGAAACAGTACTTTTATGCAATGGAACTGGTAGTCTATGACATATCCCCGGCCGATGTATTTCCGGGTCAACCTACCGAAACATAGCCAATGGCCAATCAGAGCACTCATTTGATATTGGGTCAAAGAATATCACTGGATCAAGCCAGGATGACTCGTACATAATGTAGCTACTGGACATTCGAAAAGAAAAAATGAATATTCATCAACTCAAACCAAGATGGCTGATAGTGTTGTGGTCAAACGTTTAACCGTCTGGTATCCGACCATCTATGGCACTATCCGTTTTCAATCTGACGGTTTTGTTTTCCCGTTTTTTTTATTTTTAATTTTTAATTCTTTATTGGAAAATCCAAAATGTACATAATTAGAAACAAAATCAATGAAAAAACAGAGACTTTACTGTCAGGCATGCTTTGGAATAATGACTGGGTTTCACTTTGTTTATGAAGCTAATAAATCAAGTTTTGCCTACATTATAGTCATCATAAGTCAGCCCTGACTGTTGAATGTTGAATTGCAGAACAACAATCTACACGATAACAATCAATTGCAAGACTTTAGATTGAGAAGTTGACTCGTAAAACTAAGTTCCCAGCCTTGAAATACATGCACAATACATCCCTTTTTTTTAAATCGTTTAACCGAAAACCGTCCGGTTTTGACTAGCAGTTAAACGGAATTAGAAATATCTGTGATGTTACAACACTAGTTGACGACAAGACTTTCTCGGATTAATCATTAATTTAGGATCTAAATGACCAAGCTATCGAAGTCAAAATAGATATTTCCGTGTTATTTTCAATTCTTAATAAGATTCAGTGTAATGTTGCAGCCAAAGTTGATATATGAAGACACAAAGAGTGAAAAAAGGCTTGTTGCATATACCGTAGGCCTGTAACCGATCATCGGATCGGGTACAGATCTTGAGGCGATCATGGGTGATCGGATAATAATTTCCGATCGCCGATCAATAAAGATGATCAAGAAAAAAAATCAGAATTTTTTTTTTTTTTTTTTTTCATGCCATAAATTTTCAAGTTTTTGGTTATCAAATGCTTTAAAAAAATTCATAGCTGGGATTATTTTGTCATTAGGAGTTGTTGTAGACCATGTTTGTTGATATTTAGTGCCTTTTCATGACTTTGAAATTAATAATATTGGTCTAAGAGAAGAGGCAAAACATGAGGGCCGCCATCTTGGATTATAATGCATGCCTACATTATAATCCAAGCGTTGCATACAAAATTTAATTCTTTTTTTCAAAATTTGTATAGATTTGATGAGGTAACTGATTTTTTGTATGTTTTACTTATCAGGGTATCTCCATGCCGGAGTTACGGATCAAAGTCTGGAAATGATTATGAACTAGCGTCCATTTTTTTAGTGCAGTCCTAAACATAACAGGTGTAACACTAGGGACTTTACAATTAGCATGTTCACTAGTGGAATGCTACTTATACGTTTATTTTTTAAGCAGGGTTGACGTCTTGACGAGGAGCGCCGACTGTTGTTTGTTACCTTTTTGATTCCACACGACAACGCTCGCCCAGTGCAGCATGCGTATGTTCGCGCTTGCCATGATCCCACACCAAATTCAGTGCATGGGACTGTACTCTATAATTTATGCTGCAACAAATTGGCGATACATACCGTAAATAAAATGTGTTCATTTTATGGCTTAATCTGCAACAATTTTGATTTAAGGAAAATTACAGACAAGAGAATGTGATTAAATAATTTTAGATATATCTAGTTCACGCTTTCACAACTCTCCACTTGCAGAATTATGTTAATTGGGTCTATTTTGCGACTTCAATGTGCTGTTCCGTATCTACAAAATATTGCTTACGAACAGCAGTACCGTTATAAGGGGATTCACTAGGTACAGACAGGAATGATTAGATATCAGACAGGAATTGGGTTAAAACACCTTTAATAAGGCGACAACGGCCTTAGAAACAACAATCAGAATCTTACAGACAACCGTCCATTTTCTCGTCTCTCGATCCCCATCCAGATCATATCGGTATCGGTATCGGTTATAACGATATCAATCCCTATACCGTCACAGATTGCGAACGACGGCAAAACAAGGGTGACTGAATTTCTGCTACGAACGATGAGCTCGTCAATGCGCATGCGCACTGCTTAAAAAAGGACCGCATACGTTGCAGTCCACTAGAGAAAATGTAAATCGAAAAGTCCCTGTTCTTGACTTGAGCCTGAGTTAAGGGATCCCTCGCAGGTAATTATCCAGATTCTGCCCAAACAAAGTTTTTTAAAAGCCTGGAAAGAGAATAGATCTAGTTACGAACTAGAGTAAAGTACCCGGTTTTCGGCCACTTAAGACAAAATCCTATTTATTGGACTCTTTACTTCCTATTTATTATCATTTCTTGTTCAAATCATGAAGCAAATATTATTATTATTTAAACAAAAAAAGAATCCCCAAAAAAAATCACGAATTGCCATGACAATATTCATTTCAATTTTCACTGTTTTGGAGCCGGTTATCGGCCGAGCGTTTCAGTTTACGGCCGCATGTACAAAGTCAATCGGAAGCGCTCGCGCGCGCCGTGCGTTTCTGCGCTGATGTATAGCACACGCGGGCGGAGCAGGTATCCCACGCCGGAGCTCCCGGGTGCTCGCCTGACCGAATACAGGCACAGCGGTGATCGGAAGTTGGAATCTGAATTAGACGGACATATCGTGTGTGCGTCGCGGTGTGCGGCTGCATTGATTTAATACATGCGATGAGATACTTTTGAGCTTGCGACCAGCACAAAATCGGGCTCTATATCTGAAAAATACTTGAAATAAAGCTCATTTTATGGTACCCATATTTCTTACATACACGCGTAAGAAACTCGATTTTTCAGATTTGGGTAGCGGGACCGCCGATTACATCGCTAAAATGTGATATTTTAGGATATATTTTTCATTGCAAATGTGGTTCTTCAGTGACACTGGCATGGTATGGTATGTGTGGGATATGTGTTATGCTATTATGCGATGTATTTTAAAGTGATTTTACCATGTATCCAACCAATTGGCCGAAAACCGGAGCTGACCGATTACCGGGTACTTTACTCTAGATCTAGATCTAGGGCTAGGGCCTAGGCCTAGGCCTATTCCTCACCTTCATGGCTGCCCTAACCCTCATCCATACCCTAAACCGTACCCAAGTACCCTAACAATGCGTCAATATTCTCTTTCCAGGCTTTTAATCTACTTTGGGCAGAATCCGGAATATTACCCTCTTGCAATCGCCCTCGGCCCGGATCGGATATAATAATGTCTGTGGAGAAATGTAAAATACAGTCCCATACATTACAATTTATGTTATATTAATTTCACGAAAGGGAAAAAAGGGCGTTTACCTGCAGCTCCTCCGAATGTTTTTACTCTAAAATCTTCTAGAGTTTTAGGGTAGGCATCAAACTCCCTTAAGCGGTTCCAAACGTCCTGGATAGCCATTTTCAAATCACAAACATCTATTAAAACAGAATGGAGACTGAACGTCTGATCGTTTCAAGACAAGAGCGGACGCGGCGCCGGGAAGAAGTTAGCCCTCAATAAGTGCACTAAACGTGACGTGTGGAATAAATTGTCAATTTGATGAGTGCAATATAAAGAGATCGCATTTTACAAGAATATAGCTACAAAAATATCCAACGGACGTCAGTGGCGCTTTATGTTTACTAGCGAATTTGCCGAGAATCTCTAATGTTGTAAATTAATTAAAAAGGTAGTCTTTGGTATCTTTTAATATGTGTATGGTGGAGTTGGAGTTGGAGTCCCATTTGGCAACAAATTATTCCAAGCTTTTCGAAGGTTACAAAATATAGAATCTACCCGTTTGCTGCAATTACCTTTGATGTCTGAGGTTCGAAGCCGCCAATATCACTGGAAAGCTTGAATAGTGATTTTGTTCCCCCCCAAAAATACGTTTATATTCCACTCTTTATTTAAATTAACAAGGAGAAAATAAAACAGACGATAAAATATGAATAAAAACGCCTAACTGTAAAAAAAATTGCTTACATTGTATAGAGCAGCTTTAATTTGTGAAAAATAGTATTAAGTTAAAATTCTAAAACAAACCCCAAAATTTGACACTTTTCCAAGTACTTCCGGCGCTCTGATTTTTATGGGGAGGCTTAACGGGGGAGGGGGAGAGAACACTCCATTTTCTCCTCAACATCCACCCTTGTTTAAAAACGTCAATGCCTGTCCGGCATGCATCATCAGCGGATGGTTATTTCTCGTCAATGTTTACTCGGTTTGAAGATCTATAGTGCCATATACCGTCAAAATGTCATTCGTGTCGAATTTTGGTTTTTCTTTTCAATTTGCTTTATTCGAGAGAGGAGAGCAAAACATTTTTCTCTTACAGTGCAGAATACAAGAATTCAAGAGAAAAAGTAGACAAACACACGAGGCTTTGTTAATCATAACTCTCTCTTATTTTTTTTTAATTCAGGGATTACATAGAAATCATACGATTTCGAAAAGCAACTGCTCGAGGAGCATTTGGGCGATGGTACAATTATCAACGCCGTCGTCATCCACTTCGGAGAATGACAAGTCCATTGTGCTGCTGTTGGTCTCTTCGAAGAGATCCCATGTGAAGTCCGATAGTTCAGATACGGAAGTGAAACTCGACATATCGTCATCATCGTCGCTCTCATCGAATAGCGAAGACCAGTCAGAGATAGAACTTAAGCTTTCTTCATCATAACCGTCGTCGTCAGACACGGCCGAAGGGACGACCAATTGAGGTTTGGTGTCGATGTTGCAATCCTCTTCAACTTTAGAAACTTCGAAGTTGGATGCTCCACTTGCAAGGTGGAACTGTAATATAAAAGAAGGGAAAGAGAGTGAAGAGCTGACCTATGCTTGAGAATGAAACACTAGATTTTCAGTAAAAATAGCAAAGGGAACTCGAAAGTCTATTCTTGTCTGGGAACAAATAGGTACAATTTACAGTATATTCTGTCTATATTTTACACTACCAGACGCGGTATTGATTATTGAAACAATTTCAGATGAGGATTCGACTTTTGGTTTTGTTCAAAACGATTTACTTACCAATGCAATATCATTTCGCGACAAAGCATTGTGTCGTCACATCTTTTAAACACTTGTCATGATAGCGCTTTGCATGCGTGTATGGCGCTATGGGGGGGGGGGGGGGGGCACGTGGTACTGGAATGATGATTGTTTTAATGGGGCGGGTTTGGGACACATTAAGCTTCTGACTGACAAAACAATTGTATTAAGCTGGTAAAGATGATGCATTTCCAGATACCAGGGGGGGGGGGGGGGTGGCATTGTAGAGATTTGGAGGAATAAAGATAATTCTACCCCCCCCCCTTCATCCTTAACTCGCCTAGATATTGCATTTGGATGAAGCAGAAAGAGCCGGATTAGTTTCTTATGGTGACCTATTCCTTCTTACTTCTTAAAAGTACACTATAGCAAAGATTGGCCGCAGAACATGTAATCCCTTTGAAAGAAATCAACACGATCGATCAATTAAGGCGCAACAAATATACAATTACTAGAGCGTAAAATTTGAAAAAGTGCGACGTCCAACCAGTATCTGCTCTTGTTTACAGCAGGCAATATTCTGTTGTATATAAGTAATGTTGAATCAGCTACAATTACGTCATTTTACATACGCCAGTTTGGCATCCATTATCAGCGGATGGTATTTCTTGTCAATATGTTTACTCGGTTTGAAGATCTATAGTGCCCTATACCGTCATAATGTCATTCGTGTCGAATTTTGATTTTTCTTTTCAATGCTTTATTCGAGAGAGGAGAGCAAACAGTTTTCTCTTACAGTGCAGACTACAAGAATTCAAGAGAATAAGTAGACAAACACACGAGGCTTTGTTATTCACAACTCTCTCTTGTTTTGTTTAATTCAGGGATGACATAGAAATCATACGATTTCGAAAAGCAACTGCTCGAGGAGCATTTGGGCGATGGTACAATTATTATCAACGCCGTCGTCATCCACTTCGGAGAATGACAAGTCCATTGTGATGCTGTTGGTTAAAGTCCGATAATTCAGATACGGTAGTGAAACTCGACATATCGTCATCATCGTCGCTCTCATCGAATAGCGAAGACCAGTCAGAGATAGAACTTAAGCTGTCTTCATCATAACCGTCGTCGTCTGACACGGCCGAAGGGACGACCAATTGAGGTTTGGTGTCGCGATGTTGCAATCCTCTTCAATTTTAGAAATTAATATTTGTTTCTTTCTTTACGAGGTACCAGTTGCTGCTTAATTATTTAAGCAACATACTTTGCAGTAGGGTGTGATGGTATGTATATTAATTTTCGAGCGAGAAACAATTTTAAGATTCGTGAGGTCCCAGTGCGAAAAATTACATTTGAAATGAACACAAAAAACAAACGCTTATGAGTATTACCCCCAATCTAATAAGAAAGGCTGAAAAGTTCGTTGATAAATAACATAAAAACAACATGTATAAATGTGAGCGAGCGTAGCGAGTAAGCTTTAGGGAAAATTAAAAAAGAGGTGCTCTAAATGGTCCCCTTGAATCAGATGTGCATGTTATGAAGAAGGAAAGTTATTAGAAAAAAAAGTTAAAAGAGAAATATCATTTATTGCACTTGAAAAGGGATACTCAAGCAAAACGTAAAAAGGCACTTGTGAGGATGGAAATGGGGAATCTGTTGAGGAAAAGGGCACCTATCAGATTTTAATATAGAGGCATTAATCAGATGTTAAAAGGGGCATTTTGAAAAGGGGGAGAGGCTCATATTAAAAAGGAAAAGGGGCACGTGTCAAAATAAAAGGGTCACTTAAAAGAGGTGAAAAGTGGCATTTAAGAGAAAGGGAAGGGAGTTCTTATTACGAAGGGAAAAGTACACTGATTTAGAAGGAAAAGGGACACCAGTCAAAATATTTTTTTTAAAAGGAAAATTAGACGTAAAAAGGGGAAAAGACGCATGGCTCACCAGAGATGAAAAGAGAGGAGCAAGAGAGTAATTAGAAAAGAAAAGGGGCACTTGTCCTATGTCAAAAGGGGCTTTTTTGGAGTACCTTGAAAAGTGGGGACACAGTGCCCCCCCCTCCCACGGCTCCCCCCTAACATTAGTACGCCTGTGTAGTTCACTGATGAATCACTTTAAAATGTATAAGTTTCTTAATTTAAATGGGATATTGCTCAAACCTTCAGTCCACGCCAAAAATAATTAGCATTGAATAGAATAGATGCAGAAAAACAAGAAAAAATAGAGCAAAACAAATTTGAGTAAAATCGGATAACTAAAAAGGAAGTTATGAATTTTTGTTAAAGTATGAAAAACTATGGAACTAAGAAAATCACTACACAAATTTCCAATTTGGTTATCGGTTTGTAACGTGAAAGCATTGCCTCATTAATTGCTTTATATATTTTTTTATCCCATTAATTTTCCTTCTTATCCCCGAAAACTCGATTTCCCCATGCCTTTGCCCAGGTTATATGATTTGTATCATATTGCGTGCATGACATTTCATAAAATCTGTTATGAACTTTGAAGAATTGTTTCTATTTTCTGAATATTGTATAGGCCTATTTCATATTCATTGATTTTTATATAGTTTATCAAAATTCAAATTTTTCATGATTTAGCTTCAAAAAATTACTCTATATTTGGTATTAGTGCATCCAGAAAAAACATGTTACTATCAATATAACTTTGATGCTGGTGTGAGGAAATAAGATTGTTAGGGGGGAAATTGTAAAGAAAAGAAAGAAAACAATACTTAGTGGATAATGAGGCAATGACGTCACAGACTCATGATTGAGTTGCCAATTTGTCTTGTTACATTAAAAGTTTTTCATGTCATTGAAAATGTATAACTTTCTAATTAGTTATCCAATTTTGCTCAAACTTTTTTGATTGGTTTGTCTCATTGTTCTGTTTTTTTGAAAGTAAGTTATTTTTGGAGTGGTTGGTGGTTTCCCGCATTTTCATGTAATCTACATTTACATCTGGAGGGCATGCACGTACCGCAGCCCCCCTCTCCCCACCCTCCAAAATAATTAATATGCATTTTTAATTCTCCTATATAACTGCTTACCGAAAATTATAAACTTATCATATCAATGCCTGCCTGACGCCTATATTCTAGTTCTCATACATAGTCATACCCAACTAACAATTGGACGTTTTCTGAACGTTCTAAAAACGTTCCAAGTTGGTTTTTTGGACGTTTTGTGAATACGTTTTTTGGACGTCAAAATGTGGTAGGTTTTCGACGTATTTAAAACGTTTTATTGGACGTTTTAAAAACGTTTTTTAAACGTTTTCAAAAACCTAAACTTTGACGTAAATGAGAAGTCCAAACTTTAACGTTATATAAACGTTTTTAAATCGTTCATTTAGGACGAAGACGTACAGGACCTAAAAAAAAACGTTTTGAAAACGTTCTGTGTCACTGGGTAGGGTCTGCTACTTGTTTAATGATACTTCTCCCTTTCTTTCAAAGTTATGTAGGTACGTAATTCACTTACGTCTACATAAAGAAAATTTCAATTTCAATTTAATACTGTAATTACATCAGATTATTACTATTATATCAAACATTTATCTCATTGTTATCGTTTTTAAATGAAATTGACCCCGGATAACTATAAAAATACAATGTAAGTTTAAGAAAAGGAAGAGCATTCTTCGTTGAAAGAGTTGATTTGATTGGTCAAATTACTGTTTTCTATTCACCTTTATCCAATCAAGAGTGAGATATCTTGGCGCTCTTCTGTGTACAATATCATACGAGACAGCGATTGCTGCGACTACATCTTGTGGAGAACGCCGTGAAAATACGTGTTTTTCCCTGCAATATGATGTTCCACATTCTTGATGAACACCATTCATTTTGTTGAAAGAATCAAGGATCTCATAGGCAGTGCGGTATGTACTATTGTTATCATTGATCATGTGTAAATACTACCTTTACTATAGTGAATCTAGTGTGATTTTCCAAAACACTGTCGAATGTCATTGCCATTGACTGGGTACATTATTCACGGGAGCCGGGCTAACTCGCCCCGCGGGACATCTCGCCCCGCGGGACATCTCGCCCCAGCCAAGATTCAAGATTCAAGATTCAAGATTTATTTATTTCTTTCCACTTGCATAAAAAACATTTCATTCAGGAGCAGTAGTAACAAGTTCATTGTCAACTAGCATAGATCTAAATACATTAACAATGAAACAGTTATAAAGACTTTAACAAATGTGGAAAAAGAGATGGTCTGTTAAAAAAGCACAGCTTGTAAAGCCTAAAGGTAGGTAGACCGAAAGCTTCAGTCTCTATAATCGTCGGTTGTTCCACTGAGACTACGTCTGGCTCCACTAGACCTCCGGTTATAGAGACTGAACGATCGCCTATGCCAGCCTATGTTGAAGATATCACGGCTAGATTTTAGCCGCTAGGCCCCCTCCCACAAACATGACAAACTTGCCACGGCCGTATTGTTATGCCCCCAAAATCCCCCAAAATCCCCCAAAATGTCATTTTACCTTGTCCATATCCAATTTTAAATTAGGCCTAGGCTATAATACATCGGTTCCACTTACTAACTTGATTGAAATAATCCGTTTAATGGTCCCTTTTAAGGAAATTATGGGTCAAAATCGACATCCATGTTGAAAATCTTGCAAGCCGTGTTAAACTCTCGCTGCCGTCAATCTCATCCCTTCTAGTCTACGCCGAAGGCAAAATGATTATGAAGGAAAAACTGTGCGCCATCTACACGTTCGTAATGGCGTTATCACAGTTTTTCCTTCATAATCATTATAGAGACTGAAGCTTTCGGTCTAAAAGGTAGGGTGTCTGAACGATTTTTCAATTTTCAATTTGGGATCGTTTTTCACCATTTTTGTTTGATATTTGAATAAAAAATGTTATCAGAATAACACATTTCAAATTTCGAGTCTCACCGATGTTTCTATCAAAAGTTACAGCCCCTCCAAAACGCTGGTGTATTCATATCATTTTGGTCAAAATCGACGAAAAAGATGTCCACGCAGAGTGATGTTGTTTTGCTAAATTCAGACAAACAGCTGTATCGCGCGATATGCAAGCGTATGCATATAGTATTAGTGCTGTAGTCAAACGTTTAACCGTCCGGTATCCGACCGCCCATGGCGGAATCCGTTTTCAATTGGACGGTTTCGTTTTCCCGTTTTTTTTTTTTTTTTTTTTTTTTTTTTTAAAGTTTCGATTTATGCCCCTCCACCTGGCTCTATGCCTGGCAATGTCTCCCAGCTCAGTATGCGATGTGATGACTTACCACTTGGAAACTAGAACAACACTCCAATTTGTCTGTCATCTTGGTTTGAAAGTAATCTTTGTAATAGATCTCGATATATATTCATCCAAGTTTAACACATCGTGTACCACAAGGTTCTATCCTATACATGTAGGTCCTCTACTGTTTTTAATTTACTTTAATGATCTTACACATTATTCTAAAACACATTGTTACTATTATTTGTGACTGGTTCGCAAGCACAAATCGGCGCCTTCAGTTAAATCACCTTCCTGCTTTTTCACACGGCCAAAAAACAAAAAAAAACAAAAAAAATTTTTTTAATTTTTTTTTTTTAAAATAAATCGTTTAACCGAAAACCGTCCGGTTTTGACAGGCGGTTAAACGGAATTGGAGATATCCGTGATGTTACAGCACTATATAGTACGCATGCTGCTAAGCCAATGTGCGACTTGCAGCTTGAGCCACGCTGTCTCCGCGATATGTGCCATTGACTAGTATGGTTGGCAATTCGCGCCGTAGAACCCGGAAGTGAATACACGTTGTAGTCAATGGCAATATCGCGGAGACAACGCGCGTTGTCTCCGCGATATTGCCATTGACTATAACGTGTATTCACTTCCGGGTTTATCGCGCGAATTGCCAACCATAATTTCATTCACTATAATGTGTAATTGAATTTGGGGTTTTGTTCGTTGCGCGGAGATGTTACGCGATGTAACCATGGTTTGGACTGAGCGGAGCGCACGCCCTCTAATTAGCTGATCCACCAAATAGCGAGAAGGGTATTTTTAAACTGTTATCAGTTGTGATCCCTGGGGGCTAGCTAAAATATAAGCACATAGAATTGTTCCTTAGGACTGGGACTACTTATCGATCGGGGCGTCATATCTCAAAAGTGACAAACCTTAGAGTTAGCCAGGACACAATGTTTAAATTGCTGTTTTGACCAAGATATTTTTAGAATTTCGGGGGCTACGCCCCTTTGGAAATATTGGAATTCACCTGCTCTTTCATATGACACCTCATTTATTGATTATCACCTTCAGGATCACAACAGATAAAGGTTTGAATCTCGATTTGAAGAAAAAAAAAATTACTTTTTTTGCATGGTCGCGCAATGCACGTAGACTGCATAGGGATGCGTGTAATCTCTATGGGAAGAATTTTCGCACACAACATCGGGTGCGCGATCAGACACCCTATTAAAGGGACTTTGTAACATTGTTCAGATGAGAGATAGTGGTGCTAAGGTAGTGACTTCAATGCTAGATGTACAATTAAAGATAATCTGAAAATTTGAGTGAAAACGGATCATTATTCATGGTACAAATTGGGAAAAACTGATCTGATCGATTCCTTAATTCTCCGAACTATATTATTCTACTTCTATTCTGCTACTTGTCAAAGCCTGTTCAGCATCAAGACAAGGACAATTTAATTACATTTTAGGTGAATGTAAATCGTCACAAAGCAATAAAATGGCTCTACATTCCATTCCAGACAGTTAAGTGTCGACAGATTTTTATAGCCTGTTTTATGTATTTTTCTCATGGAAAAACGGTTGGGAAATTCAAAAATGGTTGGGAGAATTTACTGTTATTGTTAATCACTGTTAGAGGGTGCGTCACATCGACGCCTTCAATTAAAACCATAGATATCTTTGTGGTTTGAGAATTTGTTCATGATTTTTTTGCATGTCAGAGGGTTAGTATAGTAGAAGGAATATAGTAAGTAACATTTTATACAAAAATTAAGCAATTTTTTTCATCAACCTTCAACAATGTTACCAAGTCACTTTAAAACACAGATCACCTTTATATCTAGATCTACAGAAACAACATTTTTTTTTTTTAAAGAAGTAGGTTATATTACAGGGGGAGGGGTACTAATACTATTCTAGTTACCTATACAGACTATAAATAAATATCAGATCTACCACTAATTTACAAAATATGGTAGACTAAAAAAGAAAACAAAATAAAGATAATGGAAAAGTAAAGAAATAGGGGAAGGAGGATAATGTACAACACGGGGGGGGGGGGGGGGGGGGGGGGGGGGGATGCTAATCCAGTTACCTACATGTCAGATCTATTCACTTTAGGTGTACAGAAGATGAAATTTCAGCTTACGTTTGAAGACAGAAGAGCTTACAGACTGCTTACAGACTGCCTAAGGGGGGGGGGGGGGATGCTAATCCAGTTACCTACATGTCAGATCTATTCACTTTAGGTGTACAGAAGATGAAATTTCAGCTTACGTTTGAAGACAGAAGAGCTTAGGCGCCACGGATTTATTCAACTGGCATTCGGAATGCATTCCGAATGCCCTTGTTAATCTTTCTGGAATGTATCTGGAATGTCCCCATTCTAGCCACATTCTCAAAAAATCGATGCGACCTGCGCCTATTGTCTAGAGAACAAAGGGGCATTCCAGAATGCGCACATTCTGGAATGCATTCTGGAATGCGCCTTTGTTCTCTAGACAAAAGGCGCAAATCGCATCAATTTTTTGAGAATTGGGCGATTAAAAAGCATGCCCGAGACGCTGGCGATTAATCAGAATTGCGTGATTTTAAATGCCTGCCAAAGTGACTACAGCGCGGCGCAAAACATGCTATAACATTCGTTCTCTCAACTTCTGATTTTCTGAAGTTGATAACAGCGGAAACACGTTGTCTCCTAATTGAAGGGAAAAAATATCTTGGAATTACGTTTCCATTTTCCAATAAAAAAAAAGTTACGATCGCTTTATTTCTTAACCGTTAAAATGAATTTTGATGCTACGAGCTTGTTTTAATACAAGTATTTTCCTGCTCGAAAAAAGATTGCATTTATATAAAATAACTTGTTTGTCTTTTCAAATTTCTGCCGACATAGTGTTGGAATATGAATTAGTATCATATTTATATAGACAGCGCGGAGCACTTTTAGAAGGAGTAAGAGCTATTTTTTATTATCTTTTTAAACAAGGTATAACATTCGTTCTCTCAACTTCTGATTTTCTGAAATTGATAACAACGGAAACACGTTGTCTCCTAATTGAAGGAAAAAATTATCTTGGTATTACGTTTCCATTTTCCCATAAAAAAAGTTGCGGCCGCTTTATTTCTTCCCCGGTAAAATGAAATTTGACGCTACGAACGAGTTCTAATACAAGTATTTTCCCGCCCGAAAAAGATTACATTTATATAAAATAACTTGTTTGTCTTTTCAAATTTCTGCCGACATAGTGTTGGAATATGAATAAGTATCAGTTTATATAGACAGCGCGGAGCACTTTTAGAAGGAGTAAGAGCTATTTTTATGCCTCCGCCACCGAAGGTGGTGCCGGAGGCATCATGTTTTCGGGTTGTCCGTCCGTACGTCCGTACGTCCGTACGTCCGTCCGTACGTCCGTCCGTACGTCCGTCCGTACGTCCGTCCCGTTTGACCGTTATCACAATATCTCAAGAACCATTTAAGATTTAAACTTAAGACTCGGGAATAGTATTCATCACCATAGGAAGACGATCTGATTAGATTTTGGAGTACGTAGGTCAAAGGTCACAGGTCACAGAGGTCAACTTATGAAATTCCTTGTATTGAGTTTGTTAGCGCGATATCTCAAGAACCATTTGAGATTTAAACTTCAAAC